TCGGACCCGGCAGTACGTGTCACTCCTTGAAAAAGTAGGTACTTTGGTTGTCTCGTAATCTTTGTACCGCCTTTACGAAAATTCGCCAGTCCGTAGGACATAGTACATACACGATTGATTCCATACCGCGGTTTGTCCGTAAAGCTGAACATGCGTTTTGATAGAGTTCCCCGTAAATTAACATCATGTCAGGATATCCCCCTTCTGTGAAGGTCACTCACGGCATTATGGATGTTGATACCGATAACCCAATAAAATAAAAAAGACTCATAATTCACTCAGTTTTACACTCCACTACACACAAAACCTAATATTGACACTTTTCAAAAGAAAATTAGCGGGACTCGTTACAACCAGTCTTGCGCACACGATAACATTAATTGTTCACACCATTGCCGTGTATTATGATGAAAGCAATAAGATTTGACGAAACAATTATTAACACAACAAAACTCTTCTAAACAAATATCTTACGAACAACAACAATATTGTTATTACGCTAATTTTTCGTGAGCGCATCTACAAAGACACAGAACAGCATAACACTCGCCGATGGCCAAGGGCCGACTGACTGGACTTAGTGGATGAACTAATTAAAAACGCGTGTCCTTCATCCTGATGACGCAATAATCAACAAATTTCGTTCGATTCGAGTGTAGTAAAAGCGGCAACGTGTGATTACCGCGCCGCGTATACAGCTGATCGCCGCCTGAGGTCAATGTATTATGACAGCATTTAAAGTTGCAAATTACGAAAACAAAAAAAATGTCCTGTTTCTAAACCACTGAATATTTTTGTTCATATTTTGCAAATCGTCTAGAAATAACGTGCAGAATATGCTGTTTCCAGATTCGTTAAAAGGTACATAACAGTCTGTATATTATTGAATGGTTAGAGTAAAATACATTTTATCAAATCTCAAATTATTAAAAGCATTTTTATCTGCAGTGTCGTAAATTTTTTGGTGTTTAGACTAAGTAAGAAGTGTACGTTGCCCTTGCTTAAAAAGTTCGAATTTCATTATTTAACAGATATCTAGTGTATGACATCGTGTAATTGTAAATGTTAAGAAAAAATTTGAGCATCCAACCCTTGGGGAGTTATTTACGAAAAACTGTTTCCAGCGGCACTTTTTTATTCTTTGGACTAAGAAAAAAAAAGGTATCAAAAATTAGTGCATAACGTGAGGTAATTGTGTAAGTCTAAATGAAATTTGTGTGTCAATAAACTGCGAATATAAGTTTCCGCTGCGGCACGCACTGCAAAACAACGTTTGGCCATTTGCTAGATTTCATATAAAATGCTTTTTTAGAGCTGTAGATTTTTTCATACGTTGTTTTGAATTTGTTTATACTGTTTGTAAAAACAGATTTAAAAAAACATACCAGTCAGAAGATATAATTTTATACGTAAAAAAGTTTATTAGGTCCTAGGCGCTCAGTGCTTATGCACTAGGTAAACCTACTACATACTAAAGTTTATAACCTTCATGAGTCTGAAAGTGTATCTACAACGTCTTGCCAAATATCATTGATGTACTCTTAGTAATTAAAGAGCTATGGTATCCCATAGCTCTTTAATTACTAAGTACATGGTAAATTATCCCATGACTGGACCTCTGTTTCATATGCAGTCTTATTGCACAAGATTATAAAGGAAATGCGTTTTAAACCTGTTCCAATAATTAGTGCATTAATTCAACTATTTACATGTAAAATTTCAATTCTTTACACTCAATAATTAACGAAATACGATTAAAATACTGACAACCACCGCAATTGGTACATAACCCGACTGAGTTCGGATGACTACGAAAATGCGGCCGTGCATTACATTTAGGTAAAATTCTAAAATTTTAACGCAACACAAGTTAGAGGTACTGAATATTTAAAGTGGAAATCCATTAGTAAGTCAATTAAGTATGTAAGTGTCTATTACGCGATTTTTTGAATCGAAAGAGTATGTCGAGATATTGTTTCAAAATAATTTTTTGCTACTATATGTAAAACACTTACAGGAATAAGTAGCAGCACTATCTGCGATACTCTTTCTGCTGTTAAGAAAATTAACATAGTAATATAGCAGCCGTGTCACTGACACTGGCTTGGCCACCATCATGGATTTTAATTTCCATAACACAAAAATTTTGTCGTATTTAACGTAATTTTTCGAACATTTTTTTTTTGTTACAAATTTACTCGGGTCTTGGTTTAGAAGATATTTCAATTTTTTGATGGGTATAGTCTAAGAGTTAGATCGAATCTCCGATTTAAGAGTAAGGGTAAAGGTAAGGGTAGGTTGTTTTTTGTAACGTATTGTAGTATATTTCTAGCAATATTGATACTTATGATAATATACTTACAATACTTTTTTTTTTTTAACGTTTGGAAATCCCCTCGGACCGTTACCCCATCGGGGTTTGCGGCGGGGTGGTGTGTCGGACTCGGACCGACTAAAACCACACGGTGTGCCACTCTGCGCCTGTAATAGGAGGGATCCGGGAACAGCTGTTATTAAGACATCCGGACCCCTCCTAGCGCCGGCCCGCTCCTGTTGCGGGCTCCGTCTCAAAATTTTCCCCTCTTTAGCACACTCCGGCACACGCGGACGCCGCCCCTCGCGGCTGGCCAAACTAATGCGGGTGGAGGGGAAACCCACCCCGTCCACCCGCGGCCACACTCAGGGCGGCATGAGGCGGTGATGAGTGCGCCTCCGCCGCCCGGTTCGCCGGCGGCGGATCGGGTCCGAGTGGAGGTCGTCCTCCCGGATACTTACAATACCTACGTTAAGGTATTTTAAACATTTTATTAAAGGTACGATAATTTGAACGTATATGTGGATTGTGTCAAATACCGGCGCCAAAGGAACTCGTTGATGTGCAAATATAATCTTAATGTGTACGATGTAGGACTGTTCATTAGCATTCTTAATAACCCTACTTCAAATGCGGCGTTAGACCTATTTGAGATATTTTCACAGCAACAACTTCCCCTGTCTACCTACTATCATAACATAGTTAATATCTTAGAATAAGCCACGATGGGGCTAACATATTTCTTGTAATAAAAGCCTCTAAATAAACAACAAAAAAAAACGTATATGTACACATATTCTTATTCCGGGAACAGAAGTTTTATTATTCTAACGTGAGCTTAACCTTATAATTTATGTTTTTGTTTGTACAATATATTGTTGTTATCATTTTTTTTTTATGTGATAACTAAATTTATCTTCCCTAACCTAGTAATTTAAAACATAAAAACATGTATTTAATTAAGAATTTATCTCTCTCCAACATTTCTAAGGACTTAAAACTAGAAGTAGACTTACATAATAATATAATTTTTAACTCTGCGAGACTATACCTAGCTTTAAAATAGAGCACATTATATCTCCTTAACTAAGACCCGACTAAATCTGACTTGGCGACAAATGCCAATTAATTAGAAATTTGGGAGAAAATCTGATGAAGCAGATGTTCGCTAGGCTTTTGAGATTTGTGGCCAAGCTGGGGAGATTATCCCCAGCAGGGCCACCTATAAACGCTTATAACTTTGAACCAGTGACCGACAAATTCCGATATTTAGCGACAAATTTTTAGGTTATCTAAATTAAAATCCATGATTGTGGTCATGCCAGTGTCAGTCACACCAGAGCTCGAACATATCCACGGAACAGACACAATTTCTTAAAGATATAGGGCATCCATGTGTTGACTTATTAAGAATAGAGTGTTACCACCAATATTTATCCTGGGTGTCGTAAGAGCTGACAAAAGGAGCAAACTATGCAGAACAACAGCACTGCAAAAAGTAAAACTTGACCTAAACCTATACTAACCCGTATGGCTAGCGTGGTATCGTAGGCCAAAACCTAGTGTCTAAGGAGAGACCTATGTCCTGCATTGGACTATTAATGCCTGTTGATGGGACAAAAACCTTCAGAGATCTTCAAGCGGTTTTCCATATAGTGTGTGTTAATAAGAAATTTTAATAAAAAACAGGTGACTTCTAAATAGTTTAATCACCATAGAACAGTTTACAGAGTAGCAGATAGTCATATTAAAAACGAATGGAAATATACGGCGTAACAAAATAACTAAATTGTTTTTAGATTCGCTCAGGAAAAGTGGGTGGTATTCATTGACTCAATGCCTATGATTCTAATTCAGAACCTTTCATGGCATGGCACTAGTCCTCACATATTCTCCTATCATACTTAAATATAAGTACATACGTAACTTGTATGCCATTTGGAATTATTTTTGAATAATTGTATACACAATTACTGTTTTCTCAAATACATATAATATTAAATAAAACATAAAAGTAGTAAATAGTAGTAATGACATACTTCACATTAGAAATTCTTGCATAATTCTCGCAAACATCATTCCTATCAGTGATGCTCACAGACTAGCAGACACTCAAGACATTAATCCAAACTAAATAACATTGAGGAAAGGGTATTTTCATAATCACCTGTTCTTCATGAGTCTGAAAGTGTATCGCAAATTAATTAAATCATTGATCACAGCTAAACTGTAAAACCATACAAGTGGCGGTTCCGTTATTGTACACGTAAAAGGCACTATTGATAACTTGAACTGATAAGCAAATTTGATCAACTAATAAAACAAATATGATGACAGACAATCAAACGAAATATAATACAGTAAACACTTACAGTAATTACCTACCACTGGTAAATACTAATTAATTTGCTACTCATTTATTCTATTACCGATGTAACGAAGACTTCGAGGTTTTTTTATAAAATTATATATTGTGCATAAACAATAGAATTATTGCCAATGTATTAAAAGTATTAAATCCAAGATGCACTTAGTTCATCACGTACAAGCACTTTACTAAATAATGCTTCAACTGCAAGTTACACCTGACAACAAAAGATACGCAGCTGGATGTGTGTAACGTAACCTTTTGTGAAAATACCCACTCAAGTTTTAAGGTATTATTTAGATGGTTAATATCGGCGAGTTAATAAGTTTTAGCAAAGAGTTCGATTGGGTTTTCGTCTGGTATAACTGGAGCTGATCCCAGGCTTTTGGTATTAGATGCCATTTCAAAACATATCTTAAGGAAAAAAGAACTTTTTAATTACATATGTACAATAATGAGATCAGAAGGCAAAGACAGCTTTATTCATCACAAAACAAATTATGCTGTAGTCCACATGTGGTAAATTTGTAAATGGTATTGTGACCTCCCGAAATCTTCATTTTTTTAAATTTGTGTTTCGGAAAACGCTAGTGAAAATACTACACTTACGAATACTTTCGTAATTTATTTATTCGCTTCGTTATTATTGCGACACTCAATTCGGCGAGAGCTCAGCCTCTACGGACATATTATACATAAATTGTATATGGTGAGGTTGTCATTAATATTTTTTCTGTTTGAATTGTGATGAACAAAAAGATTAATCGCCAATATGGCGTCCTTCAGTCTCGAATAACGTCGACGGAATCTTAAACATACACTATATACCGAATTTTAATTATGATCGACAATGCCAAGTTTATAAAATATCTGAGATAATCATGCACGCATCTACACATGCATTCTTACCCATTCATATTATCTTTCATACATCTTACAAAACATAATAATAATTTATAAAATTCATAATCCCTTGCACGTGTGCATGCCTAAAGTAACATACGTCATCTAACATACCAGTCTTCTTTCAAATTATCACTTTATCTCACATAAGTAAAGATACCACAGCCACTGTCTGTATTTATAATACCAAATAGGAAAAATGCTTTTAACTTTAAAGATAATTATGGAAAGATTATGGTCAGGCATATATAAAAACAGTTTCAATAATGCTACGCTAAGTGCATTGTTTCGGGCCTGCAATCTCTTAGTGATTTGTAATCGAAAATATTAATTTCGTAAACATATCAAATTTTTAATAGCAGACAATTATATGAATCTACTTATAAATTGAATAATAAATACGATTTTACACACTTACAAATGATGTGTCACCACTATTCTCCTCAGATTTTAAATATACTTTTAATAATATGTATTAGCTACTTTCTGCTTTGTCATGGTAGAGAGCTCGGTAAATTAAACACAGCAATGGCTTTAACGGTTGCTATGTGCACAATTATGGTAACATGTAACTAAAAGATAGATATTATATACCATAATAATATAATAGGCCTGAGTACTGGCCCATAAATACAACTACCATACTATAATTATCGTCATATTAGAGTTAAAAACAAATAAGGCCGTTAAACAAATGCACCTAACGACTTATGAATAAGGACACCATATGCCTGCCAACACAGTCGAATTTACCAGCAGTAAGTTGTCTGAAACTGCGTTACATTGTTGTGGCAGCGCGATGTTTCAAATCTGAAAATAAAATTACATGTATTACAGAACTAGTACAAACATTTTTTTTTTTTTTTTATACAGGATTGATATATAATTTATATACACATACCATAGTTAGACTCTCTAACTATGGTACATGTCTTAAGCTTAATCTGTAAATCCTAAGATTTAACAGTGTTTAATGGGTCTATTACCATTTGTAATGTTCATTGATTTTTAATTTTCATTTATCTATATTATTTCATTTATTTATACCACTGAAGATCGGCGTTTTACCAATATCTTCTTGGTTAATTTTAGTTATTACCACAAAAACAGGGCAAGTGAATTATTAATATAAACTATAAAAGATTATGTCATGTAAGTCATATTTAACTATTTACCCAAGGTAAATATTTTCAAAGTATTTGCTTAACATTTATTAAAATTGACGTAAGAGTCAACATATAAAGCTAGGCTGGTATTTTTCGTATTTTTCTTGGGTAGAGAATATTATGGTTTAAGAATCTTTATTTCTCAAAAGAATTTACAAAATTCACTTACTGAGAAAACATACATAAAAGTAAACAAAATAAATCCATTGAGCGTTTGAATATAACATAAAATAAAAGTAGGTATTGAAATATATTTTGCACAATATTACGAACTTGCCAAACACTCGAACACAGAAAACACTAGGAACCTAAGCAACTGAACCAAAGCTGTGCGTAAAATTATTAACTAGATGTGGCATCAAGACTAACTACACTCTCTTATTTTTTTTACTGTTTGAGTATATTTCTTTTTTATATTGAGTTTATTTCTTAAAATTTCTATTTTTAAGTATACACACATATACATTACTTACTAAATAAGTTGAATAAATACAAATACTTAATAAGGTATTTCATAGTGAAATCTATCAGAAATTACGGCAACTGGAACCCGTTAAAATATTTAGGTCGATTTACACAGTAACCCTGTATATATATGTATATTATTATTAGAATTTCAGTGGTATTAGAGCAGAAGGGGGATACTCGCCAGCTAGTGAGGGGCGTCTGTTGCTTGAGCTTGCGGATCTCCTTGGTGGCCCAGCTGGCCAGCGCCTTGGTGCGCGGCGTGCGCGAGCGACGCGCGGCCTGCAGCAGGTCCAGCAGCGAGCGCGTCTCCAGCAGCGGCAGCACGCGCGCGCCGAACACCGTGCACAGGTCGCCCGTCAGCCCCGCGATCACCGACATGTGTCCGTCCGTGCGCTCGGGCTCGCACGCCACGTGCATCATGAACGTCACGATGGCGGGCACGTGCGGCTCCACCAGCGCCACGTCCGACCGAACCTGTAACGTATTAAACGTTACTGACACTATTTCACTAGACGGTTTGCGCTCCGGGAATAATATGTACGGTTATCGATGCCGATTGAGACCGAATGTTATAATCGTTCCCTACGTTGTTCGCGTATCATTCGAGACTGTAATAACCTAGTTACACCTAGTTTGTTGCATTCCCCGAAAGAGGAGTAGGTTGAACGAAGGTTGCTCCAATGTAGTCACTGAATGTTTTGTTTTCTTTTGTCGTTTTCATTGTTTCTTAAAATAAATTCAAAATAGCTATTCCATTAGCAAAAGGGAAACGAGCTAACGTAATATATGTCGAAATCGGAAGAAGTCACTTACAGTCAGCAGAGCCCGGCTTTATTAAAAACCTAGAGCACTTCCTTAAATGACTTTAATAAAGTGTGTGTTTTCAGAATGTTTGATTAGTGTAATACTCGACAGGGGTCAATGCGAATGCTTATGGCGTTACTCAAACCACTCAGTCATTAAAAGTGGTAACCTTCAAGAATGACAATAAACCCAACATCTAAAATCGATGAGATGTAGCCATTATTGGAGAATGCGATGTCAAGGTCTCTCGATATCGAGTAAATGCGGCAGTTATGTAAATAATGTCTTTAAGGATCTTACCTCTCCAGTAGATCCTTTCAAGCCTTGGATAATACCAGTGTATGCCTCAAGCACACTTTCGTGCAGTTCTCCTAAATATTCCACCATGTCGTAGTCATTGCGATCTACTTGAGCGTTGCTAGCCTGTAACACATAGTCTCAGAATTAGATACATGAAATAGAAACGAGTCCCAAAAAAAAACTTAAACATAAAAAAAAAAAAATTATTAACCTGCTGCAACATCTGCATCACGACATCGAAATACTTAGCAAAATCGGGACCAATACTCAAAGCAATGTCCCCAAAAACTGATAAAATTTGTGGTTTCACTGACCGATGGATAGAAGGGTCACTGAGGTTCTCCAACAACAAAACTATAATTTCGTCACAGTAGGGTAGTACCTGCAATATAAAACGAATTTTATTAGTGTTCTGCATTACGATAAAAAGATTGCACTTGGTTTATTAACTTCGTAGTACTTCTAACTTACTTTACTTTTCAATGCACGACAAATGTCGCCAGTAAGGCCTACTGCTGCTATACAGACTTGATATTCCTGATGATTTTTAAGCCCAACAAAAAGGTACCTTTTGAAGGCATCCATATATTTTAGGAACCCTTCCCCTAACACTTCAACGAGGGTAGAGACAGCCATAAGAGCATCTTCCTGGACACCACCCGCTTTTCCCGCGTTACCCGCAAACATGGTCAACAAGGCGGTCATAATGGCATCAGAAATTTGTGGCGCATCTTCAGGAGTTACTTTACGGAGAACTGACTGAAGTGTTGCGCATAACAGACTTTGAAGATCATTAAATTGAGAGCGATCAGCCTGACTTGAAATATGATTTTCCATTTGCATAACTTGTTGAAGCCTCTCCAAAATAACCATTGTTGTTTTTTGAACAGTAACATAGCAATCAGTTGGGGAATTTTTAACCATTTCCATGAGGGCTTCATAAGCGGCTGATCTTAAGTTATGTTGTGCAGCATCTTGACGATCAGTAGTTTCCAGAAGTCTCTGCACAATGAAATCAAAATACTTCGACATGCAATATGTTTTTGGTTGGCTGGAATCTGCACAATCAGCTGCCTCATATGCAGCTTCCGCTAGACCTGTGAATGCCCAGCATACGTTAGCGGCTACGCGTGGTTCCGCCTTTAAACCATTGACAAGACTTTCTAAAAGTGGTTTTAAATAAGTTTCATTTATAGCAGCTTCGGGCACAATTTCACAAATCCTGCCAAAAGTCCAGGCGGCAGTGTCTCGCACTGCTACACTGCTGTCATACATAGCTTCAATTAGAGTGGGCATGGCTTTTTCCACTAAAGGTTTCAGGGTATTCGCTTCTAGTCCACCAAGTATAGAACCAAACGCCATCAAGGCAGCTTCTCTGTAACGCCAGTTTTCGTTTTTGATATTGCTGTTAATAAAAGGCAAAACATGTGGAACTACGTCATCTTCACAACAGTTTGACAGAAGCATAAGACAAACGGATGCAGCTTTAGAGGGATTCCATTCTAATTCATCGTCAGTGTCATCTTGTTTTGTAAGTTTTTGCATAAGGACTGGGGCCAGATATTGTAACGCTCCTCTAGCATAAAATCTTGATGTTCTCGTTGGAGGTCGACCTGCAAAAATTATAAAAAATTATCAAGGCCTAACCTCTACAAAAACTTATTAAGAAAATTGCCAAATTATACAGTACCTGCTTCAGCCGCTTCAACTTCTTCAATAGCAAGATCTATTTCCTCATCACTAACATTGGACCAAAACTCAATGCCTTGAAGGGAGATTTCATCAACATCTGATTTCATAGCCTCTAAGGTAATAGGAAATAATGCTTGGCCCATGTAGGGTTCCATGTATTGATAATACAATGACAGTATTTTAACCTAAAATGAAAATATAAAAGATCATTAACATTCAACATAACTAGTGTTAATTTAAGACAACTACAAAAACGTAATGTTTCTAGTTTTTTGTCATATCTTATTAACACATTGTGCATCTGAGACTACATATTTATAATACAGAAGCCTTATCAAAGGTAGTTTTTTTGAGACATAAGCAATTAAACTTATTGAAAAACCAGAGAAAAGGTACAGAAGTAAAATTTAAAGGTAATTTTTTATTTGTAATATTAAAGCTCATCAATGGCATGGATCTAGTTTAATTTTATATTGTTAATATTTAATACAAAATGTAGATAGTTTATAATAGTATTAATATTTTAATATTTAAATATTCTTATTTATTTTATTACAAAAACTAAATATATGGATAACCATATATTTATTTACCTATATGCATAGGGATATAGATAAATAAAAGTAATTATGGAATAGTAAATCAAACTACTACCCTACAAATAATAATTGCACAACTTTGGAGATTAAGGCTAAATTAGTTTTAATTTTTTAAATTGATATCACTATATCTTGATCTATGATGAGATATCAATAGCTAAAAAATAATAAGTCTGACCATTTATATATAGATAAGAAGTAAGATAATAGGCAGTCATTCAAAAGTACATACTAAACACTGAAGAGCTGCAACATTGATCCTCATATCCTTTGATTGTGTGGCCTCACACACAACTTCCATTATAAAATTCCTTTCATTTTCCTTATCAAAGTTTGCTTTAGTAAATTCCAATGAGTTCAGTAAGGCTTGAGTAGCAGCAAGTCGTACATGGCTGCTTGTTTCAATGGACCTCATGCCATGGATTATAGCAGTAAGAATGGGATTGCTTTGTTCAGTCAAAACTTCTGCATCGATTTCTTGGCAAATGTAACCTGGAATAACCATTAATGATATTCAATATTTTTGAAAGCTATTATAGATTTTTAAAAAGCTTATATCTTCACACAGCTAAGTAAAGAGTCAAACAAAACTTGTACTCAAGTTCATACCTAATCACAACAGTGTTGTGATTTCATCTGTATATTTATGTCTTATAATTAAGAGTCTATATAAAATAATATTTAATACATACCAATAGCTTCAAGAGTTGCTTCTTTTTTGAGTTCGGTTGATTGTAAATTTACTACATTTTCTACAAGAATTGGTATAAGGTCATTCCACTGTCCTACAGGTAATTCTGCAACTGCGACATATGCTACACACTGAGCAGCTGAACTGGGCCTGCTGTTTTCTGTTCCAATTGCTGCTAAGATCTTAAAAAATAACATTGAGGTTATCAACTTGGCCTAGAAGTTTATTAACAATATAGAACAGATAAAATACATTGAGCTTCCTAAAGTGCTTTATGTATATTCATAGTATGGTTTTTGCAGTATTTTAATTACATTTTTAAGAATTTAAGGAAATATTTAAGCGAAACATATTTAAGCGAATCTATGAATAAAATTCTTAAGTTATTAAGACAGATCTGAAACTACGAAACAGTGACAGTAGTTTCTGCCATAAATGAACCAAATATTTCAAAAATGTACAGCTTCATACTATCATAAGAAGCAGTACTAAAAAAAAATCTACGATCCAGTTATGCATTTTATACATATATATATTTATGTGTATAGAATTTAATGTTGTAAATTCTATACACATAAAAATGTTTTTCAAATCACCGATCACCATCAGTATCTAGCAAACCGTATTTTGAAATTGTGTCAAATCAAATTAAGTGTTTAGAGGGGGAACATCTAAGTGACATAAAGGATTAGCTTCAGGTTCTTTTCAACTAGTTTGTACAAAAATAACATTTTCTTTATTGATTAGTTGTTTGAACTGACACTAACCCTACCTTTTAACTCAAATACAACTTATGTGTAATGTGTGATTCAAAAACTTTTCCTATAAAGTTATTCATATTAGCTCTGGATTAAAATACTAAAAAGGTTTTTCTATTACTATTATATGTATTTCTTTTTAAACTTTTAGGGATCTATCTCTGTAGCAAAAGAGACATTTTCCCCCATCCTTCGGTATGTTGGCAACATGTGCTAGACTATACAGTGTCAAATAGCATTATAATTGGCTAAAAAACAAAGACTGGATTTGGTTCAATTTGCACTCTTATAAAAGATGACATCAATTTACAAGAATGTTTGGAAGCACTAGTAAAATAATCTTACATAGACTTAGTGTGATTTCTAGTTACATATGAGCCTTACATTTTTTTTTATGTACAATCTGATGTCTTCAGGTAGTGCCAGCCACCTTTGTTGATATTGCTGTTTCAATGTAGCATCTTTAGAAGTCAAATGGTTTTTTAGCTGTAACCCTGCAGCCATTCTAGCCACCTGACTATTTGCACCCTGGACCAGCACATCAGACAACATTTTAATAAATGTTGTGAAGTTAGTGGCTGCTGCATGGTTAAGGTATGTTTCTGCAGCTTCCAACTCATTGCGATCTGTAATGTAAATATATAACACATCGATATTAGAATTAACCAATTTTACTTAAATCACAGTGAACTTCAATCTTCTATACTACACTAGTTATAGCCCGTGGCTTTACTTGCAATATTATATATTTCGTGCTTCTAACTTTGAAAATGATGAACTTCCATGCAACCATTCATACTTTATTTTGCTCCCTTAGTGGTAAAATTGCCAAAAACCCCTTTTTTCCCATCCCAGCAGTTTAGGCTCTGCATTGATGAATATATGTATAATCTATGTGTGAATAATCACTTAAGGTATATTTATGGTCAGTTACCTAGCCATTATTTTCTTTACAATAAGAAATACCAAATTTATACAGGTATCATAAATAAATAGGCATCCTGCTAAATCGTCTGATGATTTCAAGAAAGATAGATAACAAAACTACATAATAACAATATCTGTTGCACAATAAAACTTATTAAGTTGCTAATATTACAAATTATAGGTTACTAATGTTAAAATTATTTAAAACAAAACCATCATTTTATTGTTTTTTTCTTTGTCTGTTTATACTAAAATTACTCAATCATATTTAATCCATTGACAATATTTAAACATCACTCTAGTTTATTAAAATCATGTCAATTAAATATTACATCTGGTAATGTTTAATCTTTGATTAATGCATTATTAAGTTGGAAAATACAAGTAAAAATTTGGAAATATGCAGTGTGAAACATGAAGACTAAAAAGAAAACCACAATTAAAGTAAGAAAGCCTTCTTGTTAAAACTATTATAATATCTTCTGCGGTTTAAAATCTGAAATGATGGAAAACTAGTGTAATGTCAAAGGTGTACTCAAGATTACAGATTCTAACCTTCAATTCTATTAAGTCATTATTAATAAAACGGATCTTATATCACATCCAAAATACAGCAGTACATGAAATAGTGTCAATGTAGGCAAATTGTTTATGTAGCTCATAGCCGCGTAAGATAGTGAAACTCGATTTGTAGGTGAACCTAGAATTTTCCTTACATGACAGTTATACATCTTTGTCATCTACACCAAATCAAATTCTGTCTTACAACTTGCAACCAGACCACACGGTATGCATTTAGGACATTGTGTACCGCCAAGACGGTGTTTGGTCAACTTTTATTTAAAACAGTTACGTTAGGTGTTAACTAAATCGGTTGACGACCTGAATGGAGCGCCATACACGTACGATAAATTAGAAAATATGGATTCTTACCTGGTGATACAGTCTTTTCCAATATTTGTACAAGTGTTAACGTGGTTTCCGTATGCATTGTATTCACTGTTCTTTTAAACCTCTTGATAAAAACTTGGATCCGTAAAAATTAAGAAACCGGCACACCACCGACGGAAGAACACTCATTTATAAAATGTTACTATCCGTGAAAATGTTCCAATTGCAATCAATGTTGTCAGTTTTTTTTTTTTTTAAGTTTTGTTTTGGTTATGGCTGCTGCATTTTTACTCAAAATATTTTTTTTATCGTGCTAGAAAAATTATCTAAAAATTAAGTGTAATGTTTGGGTTTATCATCCTGCCAGTATTTATTGTATTTCCTATTTACAACTTTTATATTGGTATTTAGTAATTTACAAATTGAAATATTTTCTATTGTCCAAAATAAATAAGGGGTAAAAAAAATAATACTTTTTTTACAAAAAATAAACATTAATAGAGTACTACACACTTCTTCAAAAAATAATTTAATGTGCTTCTTGTATAGGCCAATCGATTACTTTTAATGCATCTGGTATTAAAAGTAAACATTCAAATATATTTATTAGTGAAGAAAATGCTTCGTACCACTTTTTAAACTAATGTGAGCCACGGAAGTATATTACATTTGGAACATATTACAGATGGGTATGGGTATTACATATTACAGTATATATTATATTATAGAAAAAATGCAGAAAGCTAACAAACTTCTGTAAGTTTGTTAGCTTTCTGCATTTTTCTTTTAAAGTCTGTACTTTAAAAGAAAATGTGCTATGAAGTTACAAATTATATGGTCCGCTTTCCCTTACACTACGGAGCGTAGATTGTCATCTTACTTACACTATCTTACAGTGTTTCTTTGTGCACATTTAAGTTACGTTACGATTCAGATATAAACGATGTATTTATGATTTATGTTTGAATTGATTGTAATGTGTTATTATTGATTACATTTAATAAAGAAAATAGAATAAAAAAATATAAAAAGTGTCCGTCAACACGCGTCCAATAAGGGTGGTGTATATGTAGCCTAGTATAAATTTATATTGGCTTTAATAATAATTAAACACTACTAGTGTACTAGACTGCAAAAATAGTCAATGAGTTTTACAGACAACAAATAAACGCAGGCCCCTCTTTCCCACTGGGCACTCTGGGCACGTGCCCAGGGCCCCTCGATCGATAGGGGCCCGATTTCTGCCAGATCACCAATCGAAAATCAATATTTATCACCGAAAAACATGATTATTTCGAAAAATCCATTTGTAATGATTGACTACAATACTTTTTTGTCCATATTCTTACAAAATAGTGCTCAGCTAAGTTCGTAGGGGCCCCATTATGCTAATTTGCCCAAGGCCTCCAATACATTAGAGTCGGGCCTGAATAAACGTGTGATAACTTTCAGACAATAAAAATATTATAATATTTTAACTCAGCACATTTCACTCTTACGCCATCCACTTCTATTTTCAGTATACAGCTGGAAACTCTTTCAACTGTCTCTACTCTCCATAATTCACACATCTTCACTTAAAAGCACCAAGGAGCTTATAAATGTTAGAGAGTAGCGCGAGAAAGAAGATTGTTAGGGTCTTGCATGTCCTTCTGTTCTTGTCACTGATTGGCTATTTTAAATGCCTTCTTCAGTATCAACCAATCAGTGCGGCGAGCAGAGAGATGAAAAACTAAAACTGTCTTCTTTCTCTGTACGACACGGTACGCTGGTAGCTTACAGACGAAAATACAGTTCACTTCCTCTATTTATATTATCTCTATACCAAGCACATTGGTCTCAAAACTCTCAAACGTCAAAAGGCGAAATCGGTAGAGTTGCAAACATAAATTCGTAGGTTCGTCCCCAAAATTGGTAGGTACGAAAAATTATATTATAATTCGATTCCATTTATATTTAAAACATAAAATGACTTAGTTTATTATTAGAAACATCTGGGGGTACGGTAGGGCCCAGCCAAGACGAGCCAAGCGAAGCGGAAGGGCACTACCTTTTCTCGATGCGCTTCGTCGTTTTTTTAACCCTCTCATAACTTGGGTGTGGATTATACCAGGTAAACAAAATTCTCGGAATATGATTTTAATAGTGGTCTTATTAAACATATAAAGTTTCAATTGCATAGCTCTAATACTTTAGATTTTCATCATCAGCCTATCGCAGTCCACTGCTGGACATAGGCCTCTCCCATTGCACGCCACTTAGATCGATTTTGGGCTTCTCGCATCCAGCTCCTGCCAGCCATCTTGCGCAAATCGTCACTCCACCTGGCCTGTGGGCGTCCTACACTACGTTTGCCGAGACGCGGTCTCGGTCTCGCGGACGGTTGTCGGTTCTGCGGCTAATATGGCCATCCCACTGCCACTTCAGCTTGCTGATCCGGTCGCTATGTCGGTGACCTTGGTTCTCTGCCGGATCACCTCATTTCTGATGCAATCCTTTAGAGAAACGCCGAGCATAGCCCTTTCCATAGCACGTTGAGCGACTTTGAACTTGTGGACCAGCCGTAGCGTAAGTGTCCACGTTTCAGCTCCGTATGTCACGACGGGTAGGACGCAGTCATTAAAGACTTTCGTCTTAAGGCACTGTGGGATCAACGATGAGAAGACTCGACGTAGCTTCCCAAACGCTGCCCAACCCAACCGAATTCTTCTGTTCACCTCGTCCTCGAAGTTGTTTCTACCTAACTGCAATGTCTGCCCGTGGTACACATAACTTTGAACAACTTCGAGAACGGCACCGTGTACCGCAATCGGTTCCGGTAGTACATGTTCGTTGAACATGACCTTGGTTTTATCCAAGTTCATCCGTAGGCCGATGCGTACAGAAGTGTCAGCTGGGTCATTCAGCATTTGCTGTAGGTCCTGCAACGTCTCTGCTATGATGACGATGTCGTCTAGAAATCGCAAGTGAGAGATGTATTCGCCATTGATATTGATGCCTTGCCCTTTCCAGTGCAGCGTTTTGAACAGTCCTCCATTGCATTTGTGTACAATTTCGGGGAAATAACGTCCCCTTGTCTCACTCTTCGATGCAATGGTACGGGCCTTGTTTGCTGATTCTGTACTTGGACGGACATGGTGGCGGCTTCGTAGAGATATCTCATCACTTGGATGTATCGCCAATCTACTTGGCAACGCTGCAGGGACTCCAGAACAGACCAGATCTCGATCGAGTCAAAGGCTTTCTCATAGTTCACGAATGCTAGACACAGGGGCTGATTATATTCTACGGTCTTCTGTATAATCTGCCGCACTGTGTGGATGTGGTCTATGGTGCCATATCCGCTCCGAAACCCAGCTTGCTCCGCTGGTTGGAATTCGTCGAGTCTTTGCGCAAGACGGTTCGTGATGACTCTCGAAAACAGCTTGTAGACGTGGCTTAGAAGGGATGTGGGTCGATAGCTCTTCAACCTGGTCTTGTCACCCTTTTTGAAGAACAAGACGACCACATTCCTACTCTACGCTTCCGGAGTTCTCCCTTCAAACAGGACAGCGTTGAAGAGCTTTTGGACTTCCCTTAGTACGGGTTTACCCCCGGCCTTTATCAGCTCTGTTGTAACGCCATCCTCTCCAGGGGCTTTTCCATGTTTCAGCTGTCCAAGAGCCTTATCGATTTCGTCAATGCTAACTTCTGGCAGGTCTTCGGTGTAGTGACGTGTTAATGTGGCTCTAGAGTCCTCATTTTCGGGATCAGGTCGAGATGCATGCGAAGCGTATAACCGGCCATAGAAGCTTTCCACTTCCAAAAGGACTGCCGGCTTCAAAGCAACGACTTCTAGACTTTCTGTGGTCAACTTTGTCACGTGGCTTCTTCCAACAGATTGTACGAACACTTTTGATCCCCGATTTTGCTCGATCGCTCTTTCAATTGAAAGAGTATTGGAGCACCGGAGGTCGTGTCGTACGAGTTTACTGATCTCTCTGTTTAGAGTCCGCTTTGCCGACAAAGTGACAGGTGTGTTTTCACGTCGTTTCTTCATCAGCCCTAGGGTCTTTTCTGAAAGCTTCGACTTCCTGCCCTTACGCTGCATTTCACAAAATCTTGTACCTTCTTCCCTGAGGATCCGAACCACATTTTCGAGGTTCTGGTTTACGTCGATTGTGGTTTCCACGGCAACGAATCGGTTTTCCAGTTTGACTGGAACGTTTCAGATCCTGTCATGGCTTGGAGCACGGTCGGAGCCTGGATTTCATCAAACAGACACGTTCCGCCTTAAAGTTCAGAGAGCCCCGGACAAGTCGGCATCACTACCGGTATTAAACCTATTGATCACTGAGACGTCTCTGAATATGTGCTTTTAATCCGTCATGATGAAATCGATCTCATTTCTGATCATAGCGTCGGGGCTTCGCCACGTCCACTTCCTTTGGGCTGTTTCTTGAAGAAAGAGTTCATCAAAATCCATCATCATCCCTCCCGTTCGAGGAAGTTGACCAGCATTTGCCCCCTATGATTCCTGCTTCCAAATCCATTGGATCCTACTACCGATTCGCCGCGATTCTGTACTCCCACTTTAGCGTTGAAGTCACCCATAACAACGTTGTAATGGGTCTTAGTGGTGAAGTGGAGGGCCCTCGATTTGTCATCGCACATATCCTCCACCTCGTCGTCCGAGTGTGCCGAGGTCGGTGCGTACACTTGCACAACCTTGAGGCTATACCTCTCAGTGAGCTTGATAATGACCTCTACGCTACCCTGTACGACACATTGGCAATTTCCACAACGTTGTCAGATAGGGACTTGGGAAACCCAACGCCACCTTGGGATTGTTGGTCTCCCTCGCGGAAGTACATTAGGTGTCCTCCCCCTCTCTTCGGACTTCACATAGCCCTAGGATATGCCACCTAATCTTCCCAAGTTCCACCTCAAGTTGCGCCAGATGCGAGTCTAACCTTAGCGTACGTCCGTTGTACGTAGCCAGGGTCAGTCGGTTGTGGTGGCCTTCCGTAGCCCGGAGATTCTTCGCACCCTCTGCCCCGCCTTTACCGTGGTCGCCACCATGACCAGGAATAGCGGGGCCGCCGGGAACGGGGGGCCCTGGCCTTTGTTGCGTCTGCATGGGGAGGGTTTGCCCATAATCGCCACGCTGGGCAGGCGCTTGTCGCTGTCGCTGGCGCTGTAGCTTGTCGCACCGGTAACGCTGCTGCCCGTCACCGGCCTGTTGTATTTAGCTGCGCCTATTGGGATGGACATACCGCCATCGGTCAGTCGCCAGAGCCTCGTTCGTCGTGCAGCAGGATGCACCGCGGTTCGCCCCTTACACCCCTTTTATCTTAAATTTTATTTTATTGATATCTAAAAAAACACGATTTCGTCACTGACTTACCGAAAAGAAAAAGAAAGAAAGTGGGTGCCCTACTTAAAAATTTCAAATCGTTAAAAAATGAGATTTTCCTTGTATACCACAAAAAAAGGTTTGAGACCACTGACCGAGGCTGGAGTGCGATTTCATCTTCCTCATTGAATTTCACTTATTCACAAAAAGGAAAAGTATAAACATGACGTGTAGAAACTTGTGCAATACAAGTTGTGAACGTGTTTTTACTAAACTCTAACAGCGATCGATGCACATTTATGATATATATTTTTTTAATATGGCATTTTTGTCCAGGTTGACTGCGCTTAGGCAATTTAATGTTTACATTCTATACAAAATTAAGTAATGTAAGAACCAAAACAAACAAATGTTTTATTACCGACTGTCCTTAATAAAAAATAAATAAAAAAAAAACAAAGAATGAAAACCCTAGAAGGGTCACGTAACCAATTACTATATTAAATCAGTTTAATATTTTTTTTTATTATTTAATCTTTACATAGTGTTACGTGTCTACATGGCCGAGGTAATCAACTTCACTTGTCAATAGGTAACACTTTTTCGAGTTCAACTTTAAGTTGGCTGCCCTGTATCTTGCTGAAAATCTGCTCTAATTTTTGTAAATGGTCCTCGAAGTCATGGCTAACGATTATGACGTCATCCAAATATATTACTCAGGCCTCCCTTATTAACCCTGCCAGTACACACTCCATGAGCCGTTCGAAAGTAACAGGCGCGTTACACAATCTAAAAGGCATTACATTGAACTGCCACAATCCTTTGCCCGTCGAGAGTGCAGTCTTCTCCTTATTTTTTGGATGTATTTCCACCTGCCAGTATCCAGATTTTAAGTCTAGGGTCAAGAACCATTTCATTCCGCTTAAAGTATCCAGCGTGTTGTCGATTCGCGGATAACTGCCCGTCTTAGTGTTGTCATTTAGTCGTCTGTAGTCCACGCAGAACCGGGTGCTTCCATCCTTCTTCTCACTAGCACGACAGGTGAGCACCATAGACTTGCACCATGGACATGGCTCAATGATTCTGTTCCTTTTATCTTTTCCAGCAAGCTTTACACTTCTTTTTCCTTTGCTATCCAAATTCTTCTCGCTCGCTGACGAATAGGTCTTTCATTTCCGGTATCAATCTTGTGTTGTGCTTGCAACGTTCTTCCAATTTCTCCTTCCTGATTAGTAAAGATATTCGCAAACCTCAGTGAAAGCTTCTTATCTTTAATGATCGGCTAATAAGTCAGGTGCTTGCAGTCCTTAAGAAGCTCGGTGACTGCTGAGTCACTCCTGGTGCTTGATGTTTCTACATATGACGTCGAAGTACATTTCTCTCCCAAACAACTTCTCCGTGTTGTCCGATGACGTCACCTTTATGTAACACAATCTCGCGGTTATCCAGATTTACAACCCTTACTAAAGCGGGCGAATTTCCATTGACAAGAGACCTTGTCGTCATGCAATTTCGAGACGCGGTCTTTGAAGGTGCGTCCTCGACCTACACACATCAGTTCGCCGCATTTCTTCTATCAGATGGTAGCTTAACCGACACCTGAGCTTCAGACTTCGCAAGAATAGTAAATCTTCTCACGCACGTCACTTGCCCGGTAGAACCACCTAATATGAAGATTTCTTGATAGCCATACTTAAAGACTCTATTAAAAAAGTTGATTCTGCAGTTTTGATTTTTCATGAAGTCTAAGCCCAAAATACAGTCATCTATAATTTCAGCGTCCATCGTTACTGTTATTTCCACTAAGACGTGTATTACTTGGCCGGAGGCGACAAGAAGTCGATAAGTAACCTTCTTATTTCTCATCGCAGCTTTCACTAGGTCCGGTCGCACTAATGTCTTTGAAGCTCCTGTGTCCAGCGTCATCTTGCAGTCTGTTCTATTTATGTTGAAATGCCCAGAATTACGAGGTTGTTTTCAGTGTACGCCTGTGAGATGATCGCCGACGGGGCTTCTTCCGCAGTACTTGCCCCCTAGTCCTGACTGTTGCTCGTTTACCCGATTTTCAGCGGACGTGGAGGTCTCGTCGCGCCTCTTTATCAATTTTTCTAGACGTTTCTCTACTTTTTTTAGCCTGGTCATCTGCTAACACTTCAGTGGGCAATTAAGCTGCAGATTCTCTCGCCCCATCTGTAGCACATGACCCCAGAGACCTTCTTATAAGAAGCCTTGACTTCTTTTACTACCTCTGAGACTTCACGTAGCTTGTGGGTCGGCCGAATATCCTGTCTTGTGTGCCACTGCTTCCTTCAGTGAGGCGTGGTGGCGAAGCCTCACTGCAGCCTTGACCTCCAAGTCTCTGATCCCATCCACGAATGCCTGAACGGTGTTCGACTCTTCGTGTCGGCCAAAAGATACGCTTTCCTTACTAGTTTTTCAATCTCCAACGCCCATTGCTGTAGTTCTTCTCCGGAGCGCTGAACTCTATCACGTGTTTGGGAGCGGAATACGTGTTCCAGATGGCGTTCTCCATATTTTGATTTGAGCGCTTCCAACAGCTCTTTGTATCCGCTGCCCGAACTAGGCAGTGCCTCTAGGACTGTCAAAGTCTGTCCCCTAAGCGCGACAATGAGGACAGTCAGGCACTGTTCATCCGTCCACCCGTTCGCAGGAGCGACAGTCTGGAACTGCTGACGGTACATGGTCCACGAAGAACTGCCGTCATAAGAAGGTACCTTTACACTGGGTGCATGAACTACGCCAACCACACCCGTACCAACTGCAGTTCATGAGGCCAGTCTTCACGCTGTCCACATCAGCACCTAGACAGGTGACCCGTGCCTCAACTACGTCTAGATCTTTACGTAGTTTATCTACAGCGCCACTCACTTCACTGACGGCGGATAAAAGTAGTTGTTGGTCATCCTTTATTTGTTTTTGCCGATCTTCTTGCCCGTTTTGTATAGCCGCAAACTTATTGTCTAGCTTCTCTTTCATAACCATCCTTAATATATCCACTAAGTTTGGCGTGGGCATGGCCGTAGGGGTGTGGCCAACCAGAGCTTGTTCCGAGGTGAGCGTGGCCTGATGTATGGAACCAGTGGGCGAGGCGCCACCTTCCACGTCCGTTGTGCGGTGGCCTTCATTGCCTCGTTGGCACCTTCGTCGCTCGGAATCAATGACATTTCCAAATCTCACTTCTGACACCAGTTGTTACGTGTTAGGCTTCGGTGATTTGGAATAATAAGCCTTCTAACGACTAAAAGACTTTTTTATCACTACACTAAAAACGTTTACGAGGCCGCTGGGTCACACTTCTATTCACATCGCTTCAATGTTTATCGCACTATACCTCAAACTGAACTGTTACTGAACTCCAAAGAAGACGTGTCCACTTAAATTGCAAACGCTGGCTAAACCTTAAGAGATAGACCAAAATAATGCACTACGGAATTGTATATCTTAAAAAGATCTTCAAAAAAGTCTGGCACGGTATATGTTTAGGCGCACAAAAACCTGTTCTTTACAACAAATCTTTGAAATTCACGATTTTTCTCCACTATAATATGCATGTCTTGTCATGCAAAGAGTCTTGTAACACTTTCTTCGACGCGCGATAAGGAACTTCGTCCCAATTTTTTTTTTAATTGTCTTCCACACAAACTGTGTTCTGACAATAATGCATATATAACAAAAAGAAACATTTATTTTTAATATATTTATCCAAATCGGTCCATTATGTCTAAATCGGCACATATCCAAGTGATGCTCCGTCATAACATCTATGACAGCAATTGATTTTTATTTTGTATAGATTATTCACTGGCCAGGCCTTCAAGGTGTGTTATAGTTTAAGGTTTCTTTATGCTTGACAATTAAAAAAGAGGTACAAGTTTTTTAATTTATAAGCGCCCTAACTATTAATAGTCAAAGAAATAATTAAAAACACTATCATTAATGCTATTCGGTATGCGTATTAAATGAACAACCTGTATTTTACAGTTCTCACTTAGAACAAATAAGCACGTACAAATGGAACGGTCACTTTGTGATATCTCCAATGAGGTAGTGGCCTAACTCCATATTCGTAATTTCGTTTGTGCATTTTTGCTCTATCTCCATACAAAATCTGTAAAATAAAGTATATTTAGTTACCATCAGACGATGAAAATTATAACAATCAATTCATTGGTAACTCATCTATTAAGAAAGACTTCAAAGAAATCTTAAAACCATGGCTTTTATTTTTAATAGGAAAAAAAAAACTACATCTGTATAATTCACCCAATTGTAGATAGGACAAATAAGCACTCAAGGACGACATGTGAAATCGCTGTGACTAAAACCAATAATTTCATCAAATGAATATGATTTTAAAGTAGCAATAATTGCCATGGCTAGTACATAGCACTCGTACGTCGCCAGCGGCGGACACGCATCGATCGTCGGTCGCACGCGACCGACTTTCAGAGAACCTTGGGCTCGCCCGTAAAGGCACATTCTAGTAGACCCTAATCCCTATAGTAGAGGATCCCTAGAATAGATTTCGGGATTTACTTGAGGGTGGCAGATTAACATAAGGAGGAATACCTTACACCCAGTTGATTACCTCCACCATACATGAGACCTACATATAGTGCCGAGCGCCTAGGACAGCCCATCAGATTAATAAAAAAATATCGATGGTTAGAAATACTAATTTTTGTTAATTACATACCAAAAAGTGGCATAAAGCAGTCGTCACAAATTTCCAATAAATTTTTTTTTGAAGCAAACAATGCTAAAAATCTTCTTTAAATGTATACATAATTTTTCGTGCCTTTATTTGTCACATTGTGTAATTGAATAAAACATCAAAAAATAAAAATACTTTTAACCGTCAGATTTAATAATCCGCAAAATTGCCTTCAGATTTTTGGCTAGCAGAACAGGAACATAAAGTTGAACCGTCTGTATAAAATCTAACATTTCGGTATTTCGAAATAGCGATTTTAGAATTTGCGGTTTGCATTTTCGGACCGGAAAATCATCAGACCTTTCAATGGGAGCATTTTTGGCGTTCAAATAACATATCCCAAAACATCTGATGTGCCCGAATATGTTTTTTTTCAATTTTCTCCCCTTACATTTTTGGAAACCTGTAAAAGCTTTTCCTACCGCTGAAAGTTGAAATATTATAAAACTTTTATTCATTCTATTACCTAATCTTTCAAATGCAATAGGTCCCCATGACGCTTGAGTAAATCCCCATTTAGCACCATTGACTCTCCTACTACTACGAGAACGTCCGCTCTGAGCAATACAAATTCGTTTCAAATGTAAACAAGATAATCACGCGACAATATATTTTCGACCTTATTGTTCTAAAACTGTTCCGTGCCTGCGCGGCTAAACGAATTCTCTCTTTCTTTGAAATTTTCTTGATACTACTTTAAACAGATCTGATCCGGCATTCAAAAAAAAATGTACTTAATTCAATACAACTAAGTGCTAAACAAATGATGGATAAATAAATTTACGATCAGACAACTTTTTAAATGTCGTTTTTAACTCAACGCAATTTATTTATATTATTGGAACGAAGTTCCTTATCGCGCCTCACACGCTTTGATCAGATGGGGTCTATACCGAAAAAAGTGTAACAAGACTTTTTGCCGACACTTTTTTGATATAGTACGCATGCACTTACTTAGATCTTTTAAACTAAGGAACGGATTTTAATTCGGTTTTCACCAATGGAGAGAGTGACTCAAGAGGAAGGTTTATATGTATGATACATTTATATTACAGTACAGGAAAACCGAGAATTTCAAATATTTCTCGTAAAAATCCCGCTTTTGTGAGCTTACATTTAAAACGCTGGCTAAACTTTACGAGATAGACCAAACTAATTACCAAACCAAATTAATGTACTACGGAACTGTATATCTTAAAAAGATCTACAAATATATCCGCGATGGTACATGTCTACCTCCTAAGAATAAACCACAGTAACTATTTTTATCTTTTAAATATAACAAAATAATAATGGCTTATTTACGAAGCTATTTTAAACAATACGTTATTATTCCTTCTCCAATTGAATAAGTTAGATACGTTGTGCATTTAACGTAGATTAAAATTGCTCTTTTTGGCATTACATTAAAATTTATATTTTAGAAGATTTTAGAGGCTTTTGTGTATAATTTTTTTTTGTTTTTTTTAATGCGTGGTTTAAAAACGGCTAGTGTGAGGCCGTACGTCCCCATATTAGTAGTATTATTAATATTCACATTGCACCCGTGCGAAGCCGGGGCGGATCGCTAGTGAACTATATGTATGTACATCGCCGCATACCTACATCGGGTTCTCAGAAACGTCGTCGTCGGCGTCGCACTGTCGAATTTATTTATTTTATATTATAATTTAATTCACCGATGTCCGCAGCGATTTTCGCTATCAAAAGTGACTACTATTTAATTTTCTCCAACATTACCTTGGATTTGTTCGCGATATGCTAGCCCTCGTCAATCCGTCACTTAATGTTAAATATTTACAAAAAAGATTCACAAAATACCTGCTTATTTATAACGCACACGTCGCACTCTTCAAAACTTAAATTACCTATACCTACCATTTTTTTTTCCGTGCGGAAATCCCCTCGGATACCACCTCTCGGTGGCATGTCGGACCCGAACCGACTAAAACCGCACGCCGTCTCGGGTACTAATAGCCGGGGAACCAGGTATACCCTAGAAAGGAAGTCCCTGGTGCACCTATACCTACCCTATGATAAAACTTCTTATTAACAAATATTAGATACCTATTCTATAACGCGTTGTACCTACAACTAGAATAAAAGTGTCTTTGCTGGAGTGAACAAGCGAGAAAGAGAAAGAAATAGATTTCTAATAATCACTACGTACATTATAAAAGCAACGAGTTGCACTGTAGCAAAAGCCTATATATCTGCCAGCTATTCAGTTCATGTTTTAGCTCCGTCTTTTTAGGCAGTAATAGGTACCAACCTAAGTCTTACCACAACACTGAAGTAGCAAACTCTAAGTGTGACATATCAACTGTTAAACTGAGTGCTCAGCGTATACATGAACTACTGAAGTCTCTAGATCTTAATAAGTCAGCTGGGCCCGACACTCTTCCCGCATTATTTTTGGTAATGCCTAAGATATGGAAAGCTGCTTTCGTTACCCCAATACATAAGAAAGGTTCGAAAAATGATGTTGTAAACTACAGGCCTATTTCTAAGCTCTGTCATCTAGCTAAAATCTTTGAGCGATTAGTTTTTGATCAAACATTCGAATGTTTAAAAAATGAACTTATTCTTGAGCAACACGGTTTTATCAAAGGTAGATCAACCACGACCAATTTAGTTATCTTTAATGAATATTTAAGTAATAATATGGATAATAATAATCAAATAGATGCAATATATACAGATTATACTAAAGCATTTGATAGAATAGATCACAGAATATTATTATACAAAATGGCAGGTTTGGGCATAGGTGGCAATCTTATTCAATGGTTTGCATCATATCTGACTAATAGAAAGCAAGCTGTTGTTCTAGATGGGTGTTCTTCTAACTGGGTAGATATCCTGTCGGGTGTTCCGCAAGGATCGTTATTAGGACCACTTCTTTTTATTTTATTTATCAACGACATTGCTTCCTGTTTTTTAAATTCTAAATTTCTATTTTTTGCTGATGACATGAAGATATTCCGTATTATTAATAATGTTGGAGATGCGTTACTTCTTCAGGAAGATTTAGATAGATTAGACATGTATTGTAACGTAACAAATTGGACTTAAACGTATCTAAATTCTTTTCTATCACCTTTACACGGAAACGCAACATTTTTATCTTCTATTACAAATTAAAAGGTTGTAGTCTTCAGGCGACTAGTGTGATTAGGGTCCTGGGTGTTTTACACGACGGTAAATTGCTGTTTGACCGGCACATCGAACATATTATTGACAAAGCTTACAAAGCACTTCGTTTCCATTCGCGTTTCCAGACCTTTTAAGCATATGAAAACAATAAAAATTCTCTACTGTGCCTATGTACGCAGCCATCTCGAGTTTTCGGGCCAGTACAGTAATAACATAGAGAAAACCCAAAAACGGTTTATCAGATAATTAGGTTTTAAATTCAAACTACCGCATCTCGATTACGAACAGCAATGCAGTAAACTACATCTTTTGCCTCTTTCTCTCCGTAGGAAAATAGCTGATATCTGTCTCCTCTTAAATATAGCTCAAAGCAGGTTAGACTGTCCTGATGTCCTTTGCAATATTAAACTTAATGTGTCCACCAGAAAGTTGCGTTCCAGTAGTCTACTCCATGTTCCATTTTGCCACAGTAATTATCGGTATAACAGCTACATACCCAGGGTTTCTAGATCTTTTAATAGACTAAACCACAGTGAACTCATAGATCTATTCTGCAGTAGCACCAGAGACCTCAAAAATGTTATATCTTTAGATCCTAAACTGTTGTAACTATCTATGTATGTGTAAGTCTATTTAGTATGTATTATTATAGATACCAGCACTGTTTTCTGTCTACATGTGGAAGCTTGTAAATGGCATCTAGATAATTAACAAAATATGTATTTTGTAAATTTAGCCGTAAGCTCCCCAAATATAATAAAATAAAATAAAATACTACGTTTCGATCGGGTCTCCCTCACGTCGTTTTTTTAATTGTTTGGATTGAATTTCATGTATGATATTTGTTGCTATATCCATAATGCATACATCCACAAACAAAAGAACTTAGTTGTTTCTATTTTTGACGTGACAACGTCTTATAATTCGATAGAGCCGGCTGCACGCACGAAAAAACATGACTCATGCGGCGTTACCTCGCTCTGAGGCGTTCCATTTAAGGCGTGAAGTGCAAGCGAGAGCGCAGAACGAGTGACAAAGAGGCACAATCGGCCTCCGCGTTCGTCAGCGTTCGACATCTGTCTCTCTCCTACTTGAGTGAGCGATGCGTCCGCGTGGACAGCTGCTACTCGTATACAATAATACATTCTTGAAAAGTGCAACCATTAAATCGGTATTTTCTTATGACGTTGTCACGTTCAACTATCGTCAGTAAACCGACTTTACAGACAACCGATTTTTTTTAGCGATAAATATAAAAATTAAGTATACATATTAATTTCCGCTGTACGCTGGGCCTCACCGAAATTACGATGATTCACACAAAATTGAATTGCTTGTCCGTAGTGGACTTTGAAAATTGAGTAATAATAATTACATTTTAATTATGTTGCATTCACGGCAGTGCAAAGTAATTACATATAAGTGCAATTAAAGTATCATTTCATGTCATTTCATTTCATTTCAATAAGTTGTATATAATAATAATATCCTTAAATTGAAAATCATTAGTGCAAAAGTTATCTCCATCTAGTTTTAGTACTTGTACCTAGTGCACGTATACGTGCACCATCTGAGATCTTTTATTGGGACTAATGCCACCCACACGCCCAGCACTGTAACTCCTGTACACCAGGATCCACAGCAGTGACCCACGAACATACTGAGTTATGACACTCGGGAAATCCCAGGCAGAAATAAAACTGTCTTGGCACCCGCAACGAAATTAATCAGAAGAAAATTGGAGGAGTTGGAAATACAGTAAATCCACTTCCCTCCTTAGCAAAGCGGGAGACAAAATTAAGTAAAATATAAAATACACCCTTTTAACCAGGGAAGCATCACGGCCACAAAATATTACGGGTCCTAAGTGAGCTATATTTGATTACTATAATTTGTATGGCAGAATCTTTTTTAAACTAAATTAAACTTTTCAGTAATTGGTATTTAAGATTAGCTGCTCCAATTTTTATTTGTATGTGGGACAGTCGTGTGAGCCGCATCGATGGTCAGATGATTTCTGAACCGCCTGCACTATGCGCATGTTGGCTTAAAATCTGGTGTGTCTTTATCTGGACAAGCTCGCGTTTCGTGTGCGGCGGCGCAATTAGCACAAGTAGGGGTTTTACTGGTGCAAAACTTTTATTCATGACCGAATTGCTGACAATTTAAGCAACGAACTACTTCTATATCGTCTATGAATCTACAAGTGGCCCAGTCTGTATAAAGTTTACCTTTTGTGTTGGCTAGATGTTTTCGAACTGCTGCCTCTAATTCTAAGCCTATCCATTGACGCCCATTTTCTAGTTTGCGATGCCTAACAATTTTGGTTGACTTAATAAAATCTCACCTAATTTTAATTCGCCCCTGATATTCTGACGGTATAAGGCTGTTAGGAAGGCACGATCTTCCATAGAACCGGGTACGTCTTTTACAATTATACGGGGCTTTCGGCCTTTCGGTTTTTCTAATCGTAACCCAACTGATTTAATGGCGTCTACAGATTCCAGTTTCTTAAGCTGCCGTTTGTTAGCTACACGTAACACCACGCCTGCCTTAGATGTTTTTTTTTAAAGCCTACAATTTGGAAACCCTCATCGCTCGGTTCAATAGCCTTCATGAGAGCTTGTTTCGTTGCTGACGAGATCGCATAGTCCGCTGAGCGCTCCGTAGTGGAATATGCAATAACACAAGGCGTAGGAACGTTCGCTTCAGTAAGTACCAGTCACGGGGCAGATTTAGGTGGTAAGCGATGCTTAAGTTTGTCGCGTACGTTAAACTCGTTTGTTAAGTTGCGATACCCTCCATTGCCGCTCAAAATTCGCTAACTTCGTTTCGTTGCTAAAGGATTTTATTGCTAACAAGGATACGATACCGGTAATCCGTTGAGTAATGTCCACAATCACCGTTTTATTACCTACATTCATCCGAGAATTTACGATTACTTACAATTGTACAGTCATTCGACGGTGTCCGCTGGGACGAACCCCCTATTTTTCATAAATCACATCAACAGCCTCGCCTCTCCTTAGAAAGGAGGTTTCGCCTACTATCTCACGCTGACCAAACGGGTTGGTTTAGGGTTTGTGTCAAGTTTTCCTTATCTTTGCAGTGCTGTTGTCCTGCGTAGTTTGCTCCCTTAGTAGGGGTAGTTACACTCTGTATTCTTAATCCGTCACCACACGGACAATATATTTTTCAAAAATAGTTAGTGGTATTATTTTTTAGCAATTTTTTTAGTCTCTCATTATGTTAAATGAATTTTTAAAATTACGATGTTAAAAACTCTGTGGAAATAAGGGTTAATCATATTCATAGAGATTGTAGTTACGAGAAAATGGATAACTTAACAAAACAGCCAAAATATTATGTTGTGTACCAACTACCACCATAGAAATCGTATTAATATCGAGACTTATTATTACGATTTCGGTGGAGTGGCGGTACCCACAAAAATCGTAATTGAGTACAGAAAATAAGTCCTGTAACTTGTTATTATGTTATATTTCCTTCGTTCATAATAGGGATGGAATAAAATCACAATCACATGTGAAATCACTGTGACCAAAACCAATCAGTTCATCAAAAGAGTATGAACTAAAAGTATCAATAATTTCCATGCCTATAGTTCAAAATCATTGTTCAGATAGGTTCAGAATAATTCAGATTGACAGACAACTAGGTACACTTTTGTGTACAAATATTAAATCTTTTAAGATTGTAAGATTAATATAAGATTTTGTTGTTTCTAAAATATAAATCTATTTTATCATTGTCATGCTCAGGTTCAGGCGTCAGACGTAATATTACCCTTCGAAGTCGAAGTAGTACCTACCGAGTTCGGAATTTTGATATTTTAGAATTAGTTAGAACAGAACCATCTGCGGCAGCGGCAGGTTGTGTGCTACTCGGGCATCTGCGGCATTCATTAGCAAGCGAAATACATAGTTTCACTGCTCAATATCAACTGAAAGTTGTAGCTGGAGCAACTGCTAAGCTTAATAATAATATTTTTTCACAAGTAATCTTTATTAGCAACTATGAAGCCTCCATACAAAATTGGTGAGTGTTTATATTTATCTTTTCTACCTAAACTGTTTGTCTAATTACTTAAAGAATTTAAGGATATAAAGTCGTATAATCTTTATTTCTTATTTGTGTATACTAGATAAATATGTAATTGATATTTAAAATTGACGAGTCGATAACTTTGTAGGTTACAAACACGCGATGGGTTTAGGAGATTGCGATCTTCTTTTTGATTTGCTTCATAAAATTAATTATAATATAGATAAAAACGCTTATTCTATTATGCCATGGAAGACTTAAAGAATATAATATCAAAGAAAAATGAGTGTACGATCTTAGTAAGATCTTAGTAATCCTACTGATAAATCAAATAAAATGAAGATGATAACTTATCTTTATGGATGGTACATATTAGTAATCTTTATGGAATTAAGAAATGAACTAGTAAAATCTTGTAAAATTATCATGATTTTTTTCAACGAAGTTCTTGAAATAGATGTATGATTAGGTCGTAATAATACCAGTTATAAGAAATAGGCACAAAAAATAAGCAGAATGTATATAACTAAAATTACATTGGTGTTCAATCCATTTAAAATAAAAAATAAAAATTATTCATATTAGTTGTAAGATATCAATTCTACTTATTACTTTTAAGCTGATGAGAAGCTAGCTGAGCTTGGTCGCAATGAGATCATGTTGGCTGAAAAAGAAATGCCTGGACTTATGGCATGTCGTCGCAAATATGCTCCATTGAAGATTCTCAAAGGTGCCAGAATAGCTGGCAGCCTTCATATGACTGTGCAGACAGCCGTCCTCATTGAAACTCTCATAGAGCTGGGGGCTGAGGTAAGTCTGTTCTATTTTTGATAGCTAGTTTTGTGTTTATAATTATTTGACATAATTTGTTTATATTTATATACTTTGCAGTTTATCATTATTAACCTACGATGCAGTAATTCATCCAATCTTACAAGTGTAAATCATCCTATTAAAATGAATGTTATTTTATTAATGTGATATTGTATGTGATTCTTTTTAATCCATTCATTTTCCTCTTTCGGAAATTTTGTTAGTATTTTTGAAAGGAAAGAAATTCATGTCAAACATCATCCAGAACAAAGATCCCAAGGGAAAATTATGTAACAAGCCAATTAACATTGGGTACCATCTAGTAAAATTGTAATGTTCTAAATCTGCTGACTTAAAAAAATACATTATCATTAGAAGGAAGCATCATTTTATACATATTCTGTTAACTCTACTGTAGTGGGACGAGGTTACACACATAAGTAGGATAAGTTAAAGGGTATATCATAAATTCATGGAAACCACATGGCAGATTAAAATAACAATAATACAACTTTAAAATAAAGTTTAATATAAATATTTCTTAAAAATCTATTCACAAATAAACCAAGAAAAAACTCATGGAAATTCAAATGTAAGAGACACTTGTGACCCGATTTAACTAGACAAGAGAGAAACATGTAGTACCACTGCTCTGAAGAGGTTGCTGTATGCAAAAGACTGGATAAGGATAATGAGAAGTCACACAAGGATAATGAGAAGCCAAAACAAAACCCAAATTAATTCTGGCTGAGTATACCTATTTCAACTACGACAGACTTGCTGACCTCCAAGGTTAAAGCTCTGAAAGTGGATAGTCTCATAAGTCTCATAAGCTGTCACATTGTGGACAAAGTAAGCAGATGGTTGCGAAATTAAATCTCTTCAGTGAATATAATTTTAATAATCAAATATAACTTTAGACTAAAACAACAAAGACACAGTCAAATATATAAAATGAAGAGAAGCTTTTGTAAACTTAAAAATACATCCTACCCTCACACAAATGATTTAGTTAACTTATTGATGAACTAGATCCTAAAATCACAAATGTCTGAAAAAGCAACCAACTTCTAAGTTGCTGTGACAATTACAGGAAATCCATCTCCCAACTCATTTTGAAAAAAAACTAAGACAGCAATGGCAGCAATTCTGATCTCCAAATGATAAAAAAAATGTAACTGCTTTGCTTTGTCAAAATAATAATTAATATTTCGGACATCTTACAACGCCATCTAGATCTCTACTAGCAATATACCGCCCAATGACCAGACTTCCTTTGTGTCTCTACAAACAATAATGGTGTAACATTTTTATATGAATTTTAAAGTTATGAAATGCTTCTTCTGCAAATCATAATGCCTATAATCAAAGAAATTTGCTTACTTGACCGTCCACTAAGATTCTTACAATAACATGGTAAAAGTGACCAACCCCACTGGGTTTTTAGTATTGTGCGTGATTGTGCAGCATTACTAAACATTTCTTAAGCATACAATAGAGTTTGGCACAATAATAACCATATGTACAGATATTTTAAAATCTTATCTAAAGGAATAGATACTTCTTTGTAACACCAGGTGATGTGACAACATAACTATTTATTTGCTGCTGGAGTTCCACAGGGTTTTGGTCCAATCTTGGGGAATAACATAGACTCTAGACAGCACCGCAGTAACTCTTGAAGACAATACTGTTGTAATGGTGTCTCAGAAAAACTAAAGTTCCCATCACTTATGCTACAAAGCTGCTTGGATGACATAACCAAATGATTCAAGATGTGGAGAGAATAAGTCTAAGTCAACACTTATCCATCCTAATATCCACACTAATATTATTAATGCAATAGTATGTCTATCTGTCTGTCTGTTACCTCTTCACGCTTAAACCACTTAAACCGATTTTGATGAAATTTGGTGTAGAGATAGTTTGAGTCCTGGGAAAGGACATAGGAAAACTATTTATTTATAGAAAAAACGGGGGTGGAGGTTTGTATTGGAAATCAATAACTGCTAAACCAAATTAGATAAAATTTGGTATGGAGATAGTTTGATATTTTTACCTCAACAACCGACATACACGCGGGCAGAGCCGCGGGCCAAAGCTAGTTATATAACTAGCACTACTATATGGCATATGTGATACCATAGGGCTTCATACATGAAAATAACAAAGTTTATACAATTATTATACATAAAACAATATATTGAATATTCTGGCAACCATCTTGAGTATGTACAAGTTACTACAAAACTTGATGCAAAACTAGCATGCTGCTATTAATTTCATGGATGTGTCATAGAAACCTTACAAGTCATACCATCCACCAAAACTGAGACTGAATATCAAATGGTTAAAAGACAAATAATAATAGACAAGAGCGAGGCCAAAAATTACTATACTGCTCTTCTTTGAAATATATCTATGTTATCTGATAGCTATTAAGATGTAATGACACTATAAATCCATGTCAGATATCAGAGATAACTAGTTCTTGAAAAGTTTGAGGATATTTTGAGGTTGTCTATATTTATGATGATTCCTTTAAATTCAATTTTGAGGATTGGATTGGATTGGAGAGGATTGGATTTAACCTAACCTATTTTCACAATTACAAATTATAACATATGAAGTACAGCTTCACTACAGCCTCACTAGACCTTTACACTATATTCATTGCTAAGGAAATTAGTGTGTATCTCCGTTAACAATGAATATAGTGTAGCTCCTTGGGAGTGCCAAGAAGCTCTAGAACGGTAACTCCACAGTGTAAACAACAATGTAGCAGAAATAATCTGAAACCTAAACCTAACACTAGTAGCAATAACCTCTTTGCAAATGTCTGTGGGATACAATAAATATTTACCCTAATATAATCCCTTTTCAATGTTCAACAAATAAAAAATATATTTTCTAAGAATTCTAAATCCTGGTAAAAAATATATGTTAAGATGCGTGTGCAAAGAAGTTGTTCCTAAATGAGCAATAGTTATTTGTTATTTCATAAAACATTGATGAGATGATTTAAAATGTGCTGTGATATTTATCAGTGCCTTTTAACATATTTATCATTAACCTGTGCCCTCTGTTTGATGCTATTGTAAGTCTTATGCAATAGTATGGAAATCAATGTTTAATATTCAATTGGTTCAGCTTCTATTTATGCTCCTTTAGATAACGTCACTAGATAAGCACTTGTCTTTTAAAGAAAAATATTACTTCTATTTAATAATGATTTTTAATATTATGCAAGGTTGGCAATAAAAAAAAAACATTCCTACTATTTATATTTTTTGACTGCACGGCAGTGATGTAAGCGGTCGCCACGCCGCTTCCTACTGCGCTGTGTGTTGTGGGTTCGATCCCTACATGGGACACCACTTTGTGTGATCCAAAAATTGTTGTTCTGAGCCTGGGTTCGGAGTGTTGGTTTCATGTATGTTTATAAACCACGGCACCGGATATATAAACCTAATGAGGGAGTTGTCTTTTAAAAAAAAAAGAACTACAAACTGTATAATCAGAAAATATGTTGTTTAGGAGTACAACAATGTTGATGATGTCATTTTTCAACTCAGGTTCAATGGTCGAGTAGCAACATCTACAGCACACAAGATGAGGCCGCGGCAGCGTTGGTTGCTGTTGGAATACCAATCTATGCTTGGAAAGGAGAAACAGAGGAAGAGTATACTTGGTGCATTGAACAAACACTAATTTTTCCAGATGGAAAGGTGAGAAACTTATATTTCTCTTATATGGAAATATGGAGTATTAGGTAATTAACCCCCGACGTAAAAACGACGGGGTGTTATAAGCTTGACATGTCTGTGTGTGTCTGACTGTGGCATCGTAGCTCCCGAACGGATGAACCGATTTTGATTTTGTTTTTTTTTTATTTGAAAGGTGAATTAGCTGGGAGTGTTCTTAACTATGTTTGATGAAAATCGGTCCAAGATGGTCACCACCACAAAATGGTGGATTACATATTTTTTCACAACTCCCTTCATATGGGTATCAAATAAAAGGGTATACACCATGACAAATTTCAAATCCAAGTTGTGCGACGGGGGTTTATTTAAATTTTAAATTTATTAAATAGCATTAGTGTCCCACCGAAACAGGTTTTTCAGCCGAAATCGAACTTTCAGCCCTTGTTTCAGTTTCGGCCGAAACGATACCCGAAACTCAAATTATCATTTTAAAATTTCGATTCATCATCAACAGCTTTTAACAGTCCACTGCTGGACATAGGCCTCTCCTTAGAAAGGAGATTTTGGCCTACTATACCAGGCGGGCCGGATGGGTTGGTATAGGGTTTGTGTCAAGTTTTCTTTCTCTTAGCAGTGCTGTTGCCCTGCGTAGTTTGCTGCCTTAGTCAGTTCTTACGACACCCAGGGGAAGAATATGGGAAAAGAAAACTTCGATTTTATACTGAAATCTAGTATATTTTTAACCATTTATCTGTTTATATCTAAATACCATCTAATAATAAGGTAGACACACGGCATTAATTCTAAATAAGAGAAAATGTATTTAGGTAGGTAGATAAAAAAATACTTAGGCAGGTACTAAGTACTAGAAATTCACCAATTATTACAAAATTATACTCAAAACTCCAGAAACGCTTGAGGTTAGTTTTCGCTCTATACCTAATAATTGCCTTTGAGATAAAACAATTTGTTGCTCCTTTAGGAGCTTAACCTGTATTTCCATTAGTTTCATTGTCAGTATAATTTTCTTGTAGTTCTTGATTTTTTTATTTTCTTCATTTACCCTATTTGCCTCATTCATGTTTCCTGCAATTTCATCATTTGCATCATCCACGATCCCTTCAATTCCATTTGTTGCCCTATCCATGTTTCCTTCAGTTTCATTCTTTGTCCCATTCCATGTTTTATTTAGCTTCATTATTTGCATCACCCGTATTCCTGCAGTTTCATTCTTTGTCTCATCCATGTTTTCTTCAGCTTTATTATTTGTTTGTGTTGTTTGTTATGTTGTCTTCATTTACATTTTTTCTTTCACTATATCCTTATTTATATATAAATTTTCCGTTGTGTTTTCCTGAAACACTAGGGCATTGAACAAACAAATTAAAACACCACTCGGAGCACAGCCAGCTAAAGCCACGCACGTGTCCCGCACTGATTTGCTAGAGCGAAACGCGACACCATACCGTGCGGCATTGGTACATGCCTAGCTTCCTCTCACTCTTGCTGCTCTTAAATGCAGTACTGTAGAATATTGCGTATAGGTTTAGGGTCGCAAGAGTAGGTTTTTGTTACTTTCGCTACACGCAAATGCAGTAATGGTGAATACTGCGTTTAGTTTTAGCATCACGAGAGTAGCTCTTGTTATTCTGGCTACATTCACATACAGTAATGGTGAGTACTGCGTTTGGCTTTAGTTGGTATTCGTTGCAAAAAAGTTATGTGTTAAAGGAATATACAGTAAACGTAGCAAGTACTGCATAATCTTCTAGCACATGCTTAATGCTGCAAATCTATTTAGCAAAAGTTACATTTAGGTGCAAGTACTACGTTTCATCTATATCTATACATCTATACAAATAAATAAAATTGGAGTGTCTGTTTGTAATATTAAAATAACCGCTTTTTACTAAATGCATATGTATGTTTACACGGTACATATGCCAAAATATCAGTTTTTACAATTTTTGTCTGTCTGTCTGTTTGTTCCGGGTAATGTCTGGAACGGCTGGACCGATTTCGACGGGACTTTCACTGGCAAATAGCTGATGACATAAGGAGTAACTTAGGCTACTTTTTTTAGACTAGCTTCGCCCCGCGGCGTTGCCCGCGGTTATAACAACAAACGCGGGTAACACCGCGGGTCTCAGCTAGTGTAAAATAAAAAACATGTTTTTAATAAGAAAAAACTTGTAAATAAATTTTTTACGTGTAGATTATCTTCTTGGGATGTCATTTTTGCAAAAAAGTGAAAGTGACAAAAATGACGATTACTGCAAGTACAATTAGCAGGGCAGCACTGCGACGAATCGCATGACGCCTCGACTTAAGGCTGAAACATACAATGAATCACTGAATAGATAGCTAGAGAATACTACATACTACAAATTGGTGAATTTGATCCTAAGACAAATCAGAGAGGAGGGCTAAAAGGAATGATTGCTAAAACCTGCAGTTTAATTATACTAAGAGGTAGTCGGTAGTCTTTACCCTAGACTGCCACAAGCTTCTTAGTAAAAATTAACTTACCTAATTCGAGATTATCTAGTCACACTGTTAGAGTCTGTCTAATTATGGTTTATGTAGTACTAGTTCATGAATATCAAATTTGAAATCTAGAAAAATAAGTCACACACTTTTGTGTATTGGTAAACATATTGATGCATTTTCTTTACTTCACAAAAAAAGTTAACACCTCTTTTCATACTTTTTAGCTATAAACATTGTTATTTATTTATTTTTTTAATCCTAATTTCTTTTATTTTTAGCCTCTGAACATGATTTTGGATGATGGAGGTGATCTTACTAACTTAGTACATAAAAAGTTCCCTCAATTGCTAGAAGGTATCAGAGGGCTTTCTGAAGAAACAACAACTGGAGTTCACAATCTTTATAAAATGTTCCGAGCAGGTGAATTAAAAGTGCCTGCTATTAATGTAAATGATTCAGTGACCAAGAGCAAATTTGACAACTTATATGGATGCAGAGAATCACTGCTTGATGGAATCAAGAGGGCAACAGACATTATGGTAGCCGGGAAAGTGTGTGTTGTTGCTGGCTATGGTGATGTGGGCAAAGGATGTGCTCAAGCATTTAAAGGATTCGGTGGCAGAGTTATTGTAACAGAAATAGATCCTATAAATGCTCTTCAAGCTGCAATGGAGGGATTCCAAGTGACAACTATGGATGAAGCCTCTGAAGTAGGACAAATATTTGTAACAACAACTGGTAATATTGACATCATTACAAAGGATCATTTCTTGAAGATGAAAGATGATGCTATTGTTTGTAACATAGGTCACTTTGATTGTGAAGTAGATGTTGCTTGGTTAGACAACAATGCTAAGAAAGTTAACATCAAACCACAAGTAGACCGTTATGAGCTTGCCAATGGAAATCACATCATCGTACTTGCGGCCGGACGTCTTGTCAACTTGGGATGCGCTACAGGGCATTCATCTTTCGTTATGTCTAACTCTTTTACCAACCAGGTGTTAGCGCAAATTGAATTATGGACAAAGCACAAAACTTACCCCATTGGTGTTCACACATTGCCGAAAAAACTAGATGAAGAGGTTGCTGCCCTGCATTTGGATCATCTTGGTGTCAAACTGGAAAAACTTACATCTAAACAAGCTAAATATATTGGTGTTCCATTAGAAGGCCCATACAAACCTGACCATTACAGATACTAAGTATGTGGTACCTATCAATTTGATACTTAATACCCCTATAGTTTTTTTGCAACTATAGGATTCTGTTTATGGATTGTACTGTAAATCATATGATATGTACATTTATAAATCTCTATAACCGTAAATGGCATCAGTATCTCGTTTATCATATCTGATTAAAGTTTTTTTAAGCGCATTTCCTGTTTTATTTCTGTAAAGATATATTTTAGTAAATGTTCAGCTAATGGCAAATTTGATTGCCTATTCTATCTATTGGGTACTTAAGAAGATACTTTTTAAACTATTGTATATTCATTGCGATTAGTGGTATAAACAAAAACGTGGATAACTATAAATATGTATTCACTTATGTTCCACATTATATAGATAGAAGCCACATCATAGCACAAGTTGGCAATTATGTAAAATCATTTCGATCTTTGTGTTTGAATTACATACTGAAATATATATTGGACATTCTCTCACTCTCTCTCTCTCTCTATTGGACTTTCCACGAAATCTGATTATAAATCAGATTTCGTGGAAAGTAGCAACATTCGGATCAGTGAGCTCACTTAATCCGCACTAGTTTTGAAAACTTAAAACTGTTTGCAAAAATGGCTACAAACATTAATTAAAACGCCATGGTAATGCCAATATATATCAATGTTTATTTCATGCCAAATAGGCACAGCATGACTAATGGTTTTTAATCTATTATTTACAGTCTTAGTACCTACATAATATTCCACAGGTATTCAAACCGACCAACTAACAGCTATACATATCTACAGAATGGCAAGGTTATATGTAAATTAGCATCATTGGATGTAAATGTAAAATGTTTAATTGTTTCAGTAGGTAACTATGCAAATCTATGATAGTAAGTAATGACTGTCCGTGTAGTGACGGATTAAGAATACGGAATGTCACTACCCCAATTCATCCCGTGGGTGTCGTAAGACCCGACTAAGGGCGCAAAACAACGCAGGACACCAACACTGCAAAAAGACGGAAAACTTGACACAAACCCTATACCAACCCGTCTGGCCAGCGTGGTATAGTAGGCCAAAACCTTATTTCTAAGGAGAGGCCTATGTCCAGCAGTGGACTATTAAAGACTGTTGATGTAAAGTAATGACTGTTCTCTTAATAAATAAATTAAAAAATTTCTCGAAATTCTCTAAAAATCTATTAGCCACATGTTCGGTAGAGCCATACGCCATAGGACTTCAGACCCCACTCGGCTGCAAGTACTTGCTGCCTGAAAACTACGGTAATTGGGATTTTGAGTTTTCCGCTGCTTACTAGGTGTGCGTTACCCCAGCAAAATAATGTCGAAAATGGTCATTTAAACGGTATAGATAATTAGTTGCCCCCCTTCTGTTATTGTTAAGCACATTTTTTAATTTGTTTTACTTTTTTTTTTAGTTATTTCAAAAAAACATTTCCTGCTGGGGTAACGTTTTAAACGTTACCGCAGCCAGACATTTTATTTTTTAATTTGAATATTGAAATAAATGTTAGCTAAATAATTAGTTATCTGGACGAGGTATTTTCTTCGGCTGCGAAGTTATTCGAGATCCTGCTGGAGTAACGTTTGTGGGTTTGCTGGATCTCTGAAACGGGTAAGCGGATTGTAACCATCTTTTGTACATAACTTCTTAAGGATTAGTTTTAATTTATTCAACATTAAAATATTAAAAATAATGGACCGTTTTAAAATCATTTAAGTAAGTATGAAAACACTTCAATACCTCCTAACACTTTGAATAAGACCTCTAAAGACTTACTTTAAACGTTATTCTATGTATACCTTCAAATGTATACGAATTTTCGTAAGTATACTATAAGAGACTAAAAAGTTATGATGAAATGTAGCTCTTCACGTTCACGATAACAATGTGTGCGGCCTTTTTTGGCCACCGATAAACCTGTGTGTGGATATATAAACTGAATATTATGCCAATAATTAGTTGTTTAGTTCAGTTGTCTACCTGTAAAATTTCAGCGTCGTACATATAATAATTTACGAGATAATTAAATAATAGTCATTAGAAGGTGCAAGACCGTGCTAACCCGACCATGTTTAGGTGGTTACAAAAAAGCGATCACCCAGTACATTGTGCTGGCTTTTGAAATATGTAGGATATTATTTGCAAGTTTACTACGTATATGTACATAAGTGTTACAAAAAACTACGTTTTTTAAATAATTTTTATTTGGGATTGTTTATTGCATAATTAGTAATCAGCCGGGAGATTAGGTATTGTTTTGAATGCTTTTGTTTTCTCGTAATGTTTAGGTGAATTGTTTATAGTTGTTCATAGAATTGGTATTTATGTAGTATTTGTTAATTGAAGTTTAATTTTAGGGTAGGTATAGGTAATTTAAGTTTTGAAGAGTGTAAAGGTGCGTACGGATAGCGCGTTCCTGTGTTACGCGTAGTTGGGAGACACTGTCCACGCGTACATTGGATACGCGTACAGCTCCTGTACGGACCGCCGCGAACCTGTACGCGAGGTCAATCGATCCAGAGCGCTCCGCGAGCCCCAGTCATTCGCCATGACGCCGACAAACTTAGCGATTGCGTGCACCACCACTGCTGCAGCATCACTCATTATTCAACACATTTTAAATAAAAAAAAGAGAAACAAACGGAAACCTAGATGGTGGATGAAAAAATTGTATCGTGAAAGATTACAGTGTGGAAATAGGCTTATGGAAGATTTAAATTATGAAGAAAGTGGGGACAAAAAATTTGTGAGAATGAGTTTGCAAGATTTTAAAATAATTCTTGAAAAGGTTGAGCCTGAAATAAAAAAAAATGAATACTAATTTTCGAGAAGCTATCACAGCCAGAGAAAGGCTATCCGTGACGTTAAGGTTCTTGGCCACCGGGGACTCATATACAAGTTTACAAAATCTGTTTCGCATATCTACTATATATACTATATATATATATTTTATTTTTTTATTTTATTATATTCGGGGAGCTTACGGCTAAATTTACAAAATACATATTATGTTAATTATCTAGATGCCATTTACAAGCTGCCACATGTAGACAGAAAACAGTGCTGGTCTCTATAATAATACATACTAAATAGACTTATACATATATAGACAGTTACAACAGTTTAGGATCTAAAGATATAACATTTTTGAGGTTTCTGGTGCTACTGCAGAATAGATCTATGAGTTCACTGTGGTTAAGTCTATTAAAAGATCTAGAAACCCTGGGTATGTAGCTGTTATACCGATAATTACTGTGGCAAAAAGGAATATGGAGTAGACTACTGGAACGCAAATTTCTGGTGGGCTTCTTCAAAATTAAGTTTAATATTGCAAAGGACATCAGGACAGTCTAACCTGCTTTGAGCTATATTTAAGAGGAGACAGATATCAGCTATTTTCCTACGGAGAGAAAGAGGCAAAAGATGTAGTTTACTGCATTGCTGTTCGTAATCGAGATGCGGTAGTTTGAATTTAAAACCTAAGTATCTGATAAACCGTTTTTGGGTTTTCTCTATGTTATTACTGTAGACATTATAACAGGGATTCCAAATTTGGCTCGAAAACTCGAGATGGCTGCGTACATTGGCACAGTAGAGAATTTTTATTGTTTTCATATGCTTAAAAGGTCTGGAAACGCGAATTATGAAACCAAGTGCTTTGTAAGCTTTGTCAATAATATGTTCGATGTGCCGGTCAAACAGCAATTTACCGTCGTGTAAAACACCCAGGTCCCTAATCACACTAGTCGCCTGAAGACTACAACCTTTTAATTTGTATGAGAAGATAAAAATGTTGCGATAAAAATGTGTAAAGGTGATAGAAAAGCATTTAGATACGTTTAAGTCCAATTTGTTACGTTCACAATACATGTCTAATCTATCTAAATCTTCCTGAAGAAGTAACGCATCTCCAACATTATTAATAATACGGAATATCTTCATGTCATCAGAAAACAATAGAAATTTAGAATTTAAAAAACAGGAAGCATTCGTTGATAAATAAAATAAAAAGAAGTGGTCCTAATAACGATCCTTGCGGAACACCCGACGGGATATCTACTCAGTTAGAAGAACCCCCATCTAGAACAACAGCTTGCTTTCTATTAGTCAGATATGATGCAAACCATTGAATAAGATTGCCACCTATGCCCAAACCTGCCATTTTGTATAATAATATTCTGTGATCTATTCTATCAAATGCTTTAGTATAATCTGTATATATTGCATCTATTTGATTATTATTATCCATATTATTACTTAAATATTCATTAAAGATAACTAAATTGGTCGTGGTTGATCTACCTTTGATAAAACCGTGTTGCTCAAGAATAAGTTCATTTTTTAAACATTCGAATGTTTGATCAAAAACTAATCGCTCAAAGATTTTAGCTAGATGACGCAGCTTAGAAATGGGCCTGTAGTTTACAACATCATTTTTCGAACCTTTTTTATGTATTGGGGTAACGAAAGCAGCTTTCCATATCTTAGGCATTACTCCTTCTTTCATAGAACGCTGAAAAAATATGGAAACTGGTACCGTCAGCTCTTTAGTACATTTTACCAAAAATAATGAGGGAAGAGTGTCAGGCCCAGCTGACTTATTAAGGTCTAGAGACTTCAGTAGTTCATGTATACGCTGAGCACTCAGTTTAACAGTTGATATGTCACACTTAGAGTTTGCTACTTGTGTTGTGGTAAGACTTGGTTGGTACCTATAACTGCCTAAAAAGACGGAGCTAAAATATGAGCTGAATAGCTGGCAGATACCTTCATCCGAGTTGCTTGTGGTGGACAGATAGTTCATGGTCGACGGGTAAGAGCTACAACGGCGGATATTTTTTATGTATGACCAAAACTGTTTAGGATTTTTTTAAATAGAATTTTCAACAGACACTATGTATTCCTTATAACACTTGTTCTCAGTTTTTTTAACCCTATCGCGAAGTAGTCGAAAAGAATAATCATCGGACAGATTACCATATGTTTTAAACTTTTTAAAGTATTTGAATTTTTCTTTAATCATTTTGATAAGCGATGGTTTATACCATGGGGGATATTTATGATAAAGCGTGGTACGTGTAGGGACAAAATTATCCCTTATTTTATATACTATACCATAGAAAATTTCTACAGCTTCCTCGACTGACAAAGCATTTGCCAATATTGACCAATCGGTTTGAGAAAAGTGACTATAAAGTGATATAACTACTATATATATATATATATATATCTACTATATATACTATTATTATTGAAGTGTGTGATGCAATTATCAAGGCTCTCAAGGATCATGTGAAGGTGAGTTAATGAATAAAAACGTTGATGTTTATCTGCTTATTTATTATGTTAATTAAAATTTTAGAAAAGTAGAATTTACTTATAGAAGTTTTATTAAATTATAATTAAGAATTTTCAGAATTATTTTTCTTGTTCTTGAACGTAACGTAATAATTCAGAAATTTCGTTTTGATTATCCTCCGCTTGCCTTTGAGGTTCCGGTGCTGATGTAGGTGCAGTTTGTGCTGGACTTGGCGTGTCGCTGTAATTGCTTTGGCGTGAGGTAGAGTTGGATAAATCCGTTGAATGGGCACCGGTACAATACCCGTATTGACCTGGTAATTGGCCCATATCAGCTTGAAATATAATATTATTGATATGTTGCATACTTGCATACATATATGCATGTTTTACTAGTGCAAATGTTCGCGAGTCGTATTTTTCAATTCATGCGCAATGTGGGTCCCATAAGAAATGTAACAGTCTTCTTCCTTGGATAGATATTGTACACTGTGCTTGAGTAATCCCACTGCTTCTGCTAATGTGGCAGTGTCATCGTTATTACGGCGCCTTTTATTTCTGAATGATGTGTTGTGCTGTTGTTGTGTGGATGAGGCAGAATTACTGGGTGTTTGTTGTATAGACGATGAAGCATTAATGGGCGCTTGTTGTGTGGATGATGATGCATTACTGGGCACTTGTTGTGTGGATGATGATGCATTACTGGGCACTTGTTGTGTGGATGAAGTCAAATCACTGGGTACTTCTTGTGTGGTTGAGGCAGAATCACTGGCTAATTGTTCATAATTTTTTGTAATATAGTTATATAAGTTATATAAGTTGTTGCTGGTAGTTATCTGAAAAATAAAATAAGAAAAACGTTAACTTAGATGAAATAATTTGTTACAGCTACCCGAGACTGAAAATGAATGGATGGCCGTTGCAAAAGAATTTGAAGAAAAGTGGAACTTTCCTCATGCAATAGGCGCAATGGACGGCAAACATGTTTGCCTTCAAGCACCATTAAATAGTGTTACGGAATTTTACAATTATAAACAATATTCTAGCATTGTATTGTTAGCATTAGTTGACGCCGACTACAATTTTATGTACGTAAATGTTGGATGTCAAGGGCGTATATCAGATGGAGGTGCTTTTAAAAACACTTCCTTGTACAGGAACCTTGAAAACAAAAGCATAAATTTACCGAATCCTGAAATATTACAAACTCCTTACAATATGAAGGTACCGTATATGATTTTGTGTGATAAAGCATTTGCCCTCAGTGAATATACCATGAAAACCTTTTCGGGTAATCCAGAAAGAGGATCTATTCAAAGATTATTCAATTATCGTCTTTCAAGAGCAAGGAGGGTAGTTGAGAATGCATTTGGAATACTGAGTTCGGTGTTTCGAGTACTACGAAAACCAATGCTTTTGGAACCGGAAAAAGCTACAAAAATTGTATTGGCTACTGTTTATTTACACAATTTTTTACGAAAAAGCAGACTATCAAATATTTACGCACAGACCAATGCATTTGACTCTGAACAGTGAGGAGAGCTTATACCAGGTGCATGGCGACAAGACCAACAGCAATTAACTTCTTTTTTTTCCATTAGACTGTGTACCTAGGAGATCGCCCAATACTCCTACTCATATACGTTTACATCTGGCGGAACATTTTCTTAATAATGGTGCCCTTGAGTGGCAAAATAATCACTGAGTTTTAATGTGACATATATTATATATTAAATAGAACGTGTACACACGGTGTGAACACGGATGAACGTAGACTAAAATATGTATAATAAAATTGAAAAAGCCCCATAAAGCAGCTGGTCCATTTTCTCACACCCGTATAAATATAATAACGTTAATATCTAATCGTAATTACTTACAGCAGTCTCCGTTGTTGCCAGAGGTTTGTCCTTATCATTTAGAAAAGTAAAATATTCAGATGCAAACCACTTCGATATATATACATCATTAGCTCCTGTAAAAAAAAGATATAAAATTATATAGGCTATTATAAATATGTCAATTTTTTTTATGATTCAATGTAAAGTCCATTTCACGAAAGAAGTCCCGCAGACGCAGCGCTGCATTCGCGCGACATAATGTTGCCAGGGTTAAATATGGGGAAATCAGGGGAAATAATTTATCGTTCACTTTTATTTTATTAACTATTACGACTCGAATATTTACATAAGAAAAGCCTCTTCTGTTAGGCGTACAATTTTTTTTTGGATCTTGACCCACGTTTTTATCCGCTACCTGTCTTTTTACAAGGCTCCACATTTTTTCGATCGGATTGAGATCGCAGTGATAAGGCGGCAATTTTAGCAATTCATGATTGTGAGATTTTAATAATGCATCCACGGCATATGTAGGTGGACCTTTGTTTTGTTTAATTAATTCAAATAATATAGCTTTTGTCGAACTATCTTCAAAATATACTGCCTTTTCTCGCAGCCATTCCTGCATGTCACGTTTAATACTTGACATTGTAGGTGCTTTATTTATTTGAGTGCAGTGATATGGAGCGTTGTCCATTACTACAAGTGACCTTTCAGGTAGGTTAGGAATGACTTTTTCACTCATCCATTTCAAAAAATTTGTTGAGTTCATGTCATTGTGGTAATCTGAGGATTTGGATTGGGATTTGAACATTAACAATGCACCATTAACAAAACCATTTTCAGTTCCCGCATGAGCAATTATCCAACGATTCCCTGATGACTCTGACACGAACATCCCAGGCTCTTCCTCACTTTGCCAGCAACTTTTGGCATGATAAGTGTTATGTATATAGGTCTCGTCTAAATACACTACAGGTTTTTTCTCCACATTGCGATTTCTTTGGATTCTCTCCAAATATCTTGAACGCCATGCGATAATATCATAACGTTCCATAAGTAATTTGTGTTTCGATTGGCATCGCTTGTACTTGAAACCGATACTTTGCAATATACGGTGCAATGTTGTGATGCTTCCTTGAAAATGTATGTCTTCTCTCAAAGCTGCACGTAATTTAGCCAATGTTGGTAATTCCTTCCTCACAACATAAAAACTGTGAATGTTTTGCCGTATAGCGCACAAATCAAATCCATCCAAGTCGAACTTTTTGGTATGCGGGCGACTCTTCCCTGGGGTAACGATAACTTTAGAAGTACTCGCCGCTGTTGCGCCTTCTTTTGTAATTCTCGTTACAGTTTTCTCTGACACACCTGCAATAAAATGAACAAGTTTGAATTATTATTTTCGTATTTAATTACATTATTGTTGAAAATAACTTTACAATTTTTTGTTGTGTTGTGTTAATTCCTTTTAAAATTTTCCTTAATAAAAATCATGCATTAAAAAAACTTAATTCCAATCTGTAAAAAATCAACCGGGGAAAAAATCTGTATATGGCAGCCCCAAAATTTACCTGTCATGGCGGCGACTCTCTTGCGAACATTGTTTATTGGTATTAAAACACCGTGATTCTTGTGTTCCGCTTCACAGAACTCCTTCACCTTTAATATCATTTTGCGACCTGCACTTTTTACAACATTTGGCATCGTAAATAAACCTTATAACGCACTAATACAATAATACACTCACAAAATATCTACCACAACAAATGCTCCTTGATAACATCGACAAACGACAACATGGCCGATCTCCCCATCTGCCAAATTTAGTTCCACAATTGTCCGCGGGACTTCTTTCGTGAAATAGACTTTATACAATGCGTAAATAAACAATTTAAAAAATTACCAGCAGGCCTACCATGATCTCTTATAGCGATCCAATTGCAGACCTACTTTTTTTTATTTTGCTCCTTTCTTTTCTATTAGTTGCTAATAAAGTTGTCATCTTTTTTTTTTAATTCACCTATTGGAATTTTCAGTTCATTTGAAATTGCCTTCCGTCTTCGATCAACAATAGCAACTAGATAAAGGTCACGTACAAAGTCAAAGCTAAATGCTGTCCGCGTGAATATATACTTATGCAGCTACATTTGTTTACCAACAAACGGATGGAAAAGTTTTAAATTAGTTTTAAGTTCAACCTAATTACAGCTATGGTACACAGTAATAAAGTCACAAATCTTCAAAATATTATCTAATACTTACGATCATTCCTTGCAAAAAAGAGCAAAGTAATAAATTACTCCTATCACTTTCAAATGAAAAGACATAACTTAAATAACATTTAGTGTAAAATCAACCTTATGGTGCAACAAATAAAGTACTTTTTCTCGTTATTGCCTTGAGAGCTACATCGTTTTGTTTTGTTTTATTTTTGCTTCTTCTAGTTTTACTACAGGAGGTATGGAGTCGCGTAGAACACTAAAATAATTTATAATATGAACGTAAAATATTAGTTGCTTACTATTTATGTTTCAGACATCTATGTATCTTTACATTACTTATTATTTTATTAACGTTACGTTTTTCTGTAATATGTATGTGTATTTACTTTATCACATATAATGTGGTATTTGCAAAAGCTATTTAGACGGATACATTATTAATCCTTATCTAAATAAATACGTTAGTTATCTTAAGCAATTCATACACATTATAATAGCCCCTTACACCATACAATTTAAATGAATATGTTAGGAGATATCTTAAATTAAGAACTACGCGCGAGTGAATAAATTCGCGAATAAAACTCATCTAAACGAACAAGCGAATGCAAAAAAATGTAGGCATTTAATGCTTTAAGCGACCCGCCCTGACACCAAAAGCAGGACCCGCACAGATATACTAAATAAAATATCTCTAAATTCCACATCTTTTTATACAATCTTCGTAATACAAGTACAGTTCAGTCCAATTAATAAATCGAAAATAAAAATGTTTATTAATGATACCTGAACTAATTTCCTTTATATAAGTTGAGTTTGTTATACAATTGTCGTTTTGACTTGTTTTGTATATCTCCCGTTTCTTTTTTACATATGTAATGTAACCTTACGTCAATAATTTTTTCAACTACTGATTTGAGTAAAGGAATTGCGTGATCATGTTCATCCCCTCCAGGAAACACATTCTTGTCAATATATAATTTTAAAACTGTTGTACATATAAAGTTGCTATCATACTTTTTTTGTAGTGATTTACCTCCAATCACGCGAATACAATTTCGGATCACGCTTTCAGTTTTCATGCAAATATTAAATACATCGGGAGAGGCATAGAATAACCCTCCCATGTCTCTTAGGTCTATTAATTTGTGAAAGATTTGTTTCTCTGTTGCACACAAGTTCTTCATACACTGGTCACACTTTAGTTTTTTTACCAATTTACTGACAACAAATCCTGAAATATACCCTACTATTTGTGGCATAACACTAGAAGATGGTCTTTCATCCAAAGTAGAAGAAAGACTATTGCAATTTGTTTGATATTTTTGGAAACTTTGCTGTACGTTTCTATTATTTAAAACCTCTGTTTCACTTGAGTTTCTCTCTTCACTTACATCAAGGCGATACCCTATCGAGGTGTTATTAATCTTATCGAGAGATGGAGCTCTAGATAGGATTGGTATGTTGTCAAGTGGAAGACAATTGCCAGTAAATATTGAACTCAGTTCCAAATGAGACAAAAGTTTTTTAAAGCTTGCTTTGAATTGTCGGCTGTTCGGGTTATTATTATGCCCACCTTGACTTCTAATAGCGCCAAAAAACAACTCAATATAGTCCTGGCTGAATTTGTAGGCTAATAAAAATGAAAGGATGTCAGTTTCAACTAAAGTTTGAAATAAGTATGTCAAGCTACTGATGCACGTCAAAAGCCCCAGCAAACCAGTATTATTTTATGTCTTAAATAACGGTACTAATTTATTGCAGAACACTCTTCTTGATTCATTGCCTATTTTGACAGTTTTTTTATATTGAACTTTAATGGACAACGATAGTAAATTATCTTTTGCTTTTGACAAAAACGACAATATTTGCGCAGAATTACTTTTACTAATAGGCTTTTTAAAACCATAGTCTTTCAAATTTCGTGTGTCAAAGATATCAAATAGATTATTTAAAAAGTTATGAATTCCTCAGTACTATCAGAATCTTAGAATTCAGGAATTTTCAAAGTTTTGTCACAAAATTCTAATGCTTTTGAAACACTCCTGCTCAATAACTGTGTGGCCAATCTGACGTTCATTACCTATTTGATTTTTAAAATATATGTGCTTATGAGATAATTTATTTGCTAAATGTAAACGGTTTCCTCTTGTAAATTGTGTAATTTAGTAACGAATTGCCATTTAAGTAATCTGTCGTTGATCAGATGTGTGTAATATTTTTTTTGATTCAAAAGTATTTCTCATTAACTTTACCATATGACAAGCATCTAGAAATACAACAATATTATAATCTGCACAAGGATGTCTAAAATTTGTTTTAATATTTTCTGCATTATCTATCTCGCACCCTAACTTTTTCATGGTTGCAATTTTACTTTTACAACCATCAAATGTTACCGAACGAATCTGTACCCCTATTTTTTCACATTTTTCTGATGCTATATTAATCAAATTGGCTTTCATGTCTGCCTTTAAAGTGTCAATGAAAAAGTAAGCCAGTGGTAATTTCCAACTATCATTAATTGCCATTTGGTTGTTATCATCGCTTCCCAAACCCATGTCTACCAGACCTTCATAGCGCTTACCCGTCCATATTTTTTGTCTCCTTAGTGCCATCTCATCGGCTACAAGGGCGCATAATATTTTTTTATTACTTTCTTTTGCCTTTGCTTCTAACCTGTTTAAAGTTTCGGCATAAAATCCGGGTTCCGCATCGACACTCCGATACCATTCGTACAACGTATGAGGGTGTGGTAAGCATGTGTTGAACATTTTACGCACGTACTTATAAGCAGCAGGGGAGTAAAAATCGAGCGTTAAGGCAAATTTTCTGGCACCAGGTGGATATTTAGAAAATGGTTTTTTACGCTGTTTTTTGTTCTTTACGTACATTCCATGAAACACTTCTGCAATTTCAACATTTCTTGATAAGTCCATCAAGACTGTCTCATCTACAGTTTGTTTTTTTTTCAACAAACTAACTAAATTTTTTAATGAACTGTTTTTTTTACTAATCTCTTCTTCACTTTTTGCAATGTTTGTTTTTTTTTTGATTTATTATCTATGACTTTGCGAGCAGTGAGTAACTGTTTATTCAGAAATCTCTTTCTAGGTGTTTCACAAACTGATATTAAATCTGATAATGATGCAACAGAAGATGTCATAACAGAAATATGCTCTGCTTGGTCTTGGTTATAGGTGGCCTTTTGTGTGATGTCTAATCCAGAACTCGATGATAGAGGCTGAAAAAAAATGTATGTCTGGAATTAATTATCTGCAAAGGCGCGAATATACGTTATTGAATTAACTAGAAATCTCAAATAAAAAATATCACTTAGCAAAACTGTTACGAGTATAAGAAATATTAAGTCCAATTTTTTTACTGAAATGATTTTGTGTAAATTAAAATGAAATTGTGAAGATACATAATACAAAAGTTCAATAAAATAATAATTTATCATCTCACACAAAAAATTCACGACACCTACTACTAAGTACTTATGTATGTATATTTGCTGGTATGTATAAGTATTTGTTTTTATGAATATAAATATGTATATGTATTTATATATATTTACGAATGTGTATATTTATTATATTATATATATGTAGTTATTATCTCTTTACTATTCGTTAGTAATTAACCTGAAAAACTCATTTCACCATCAACTACTACTATCTCTCCCGAACATTTTGATCCATCCTAAGGTTGCCTGGAAGATTGTAGAAGACATTGTATACCTAACACTTTCATGTAACTATCATGCTTTTTGTAAAATGGTTTACAAATAAAGAGTTCTATCTATCTATCTATCTACTGCTAAAAAAAATGACTCACTTGCACTTCAATGTCAGATACTAAGAGTTTAGTATTGGGTGCTGCTAATTGTGGGTCGTTCGGCGGGGATTGAATCTGTGTTTTTTAGAAGACTCTTTAATAATAGATAAACATGAATTCCCACAACACAATGATTTATCACGTCACAAATACATTTAAGCAGACAAGAAAAACAGATATAAAATTACATTTCGATTGTGAATCACTAATGAATGTACCTGTAATTTAGGGACTGCTGCTAATAACCAATCGACGTCGGTTATAATTTTCGGATATATCTAACTTATCAAAGTGATCCGAGCATATAACCGTATTCTTACCTGGCTTATAAAAGTTATCTCTTCTTTCTCTGGCGACAATCGAGATCCACTCTGCACACGTAAACGGATTGCTAGGAAAGCTAAAATAAAAAAGGAAAGCTAACAGACACAAAAGTAGCTTTAACTAATTTTAACCAACCAATTTTGAAGTTCTGTTAAGTTTTTTTTTTTTAATTATTACACCATAAATCTACTCCATGCATCTACTGTTCTGTTAAACAAAAGTTTGTGCGTGTGTTGGCGAACCTTGGCCAAACATTTGTAGCGTTGGTTTAAAATCGGTAATTTTGTTCAAAATTTGATATTATTTATTAGTTTAAAGCTTAAAACACAACTTATTCTTCATGTACTTACCGAAAGTAAGATACTCCGGCCGTTAAATTTCGTTTTCGGGAATTATTTTTGCAACTTTTGAATACACACTGCGGCATTGTAAGACGTGATAGATAGATAGATAGATAGATAACTCTTTATTTGCACACTAAATTACAGAGTTTCAAGAAAGGAACACAACGATCAAATATCGAGTGTACAAAGGGCGGCCTTATTGCTAAATGCAATTTCTTCCAGGCAACCTTAGGATGGATCAAAAGTTGCAGAGAGACAGTAGTAGTTGAATTGTTGTGAACCTACTATTTGTTTACCATCATCCACTATACATATTACATATACTACACATATCATATCATCTACAAACATTTACAATTTTTTATACTTACATCTACAATGCATATCACAATAAATAAACCTACATATATATAAGTACCCACATACTATACCAGCAGATATACATATACACATACATATATATATACGCATTCTTAAATGAATAAACATATAGAAAAGAGAAACAGTTTCGTTACACCCTCAAGCGTGATGGACTCTTAAGGTGAATAAAATTCCTGTACCATTTTCTTGAATCTATTTAATGTTTGCGCCTGCCTGATGTTAAGCGGCAGTGCATTCCACAAGCGCACAGCTTCAACAGTGAAGGATTGGTCATAAAATTTGGTGGAATGCAGTGGCATCTCCAGTTGTAAACTTACGGATGACCGCAGACATTTTTCGTGTGTGTCATTAAGGAACTTGAATCGTTCTTTGAGGTAGAAAGGGGTTTTGGGATTAAACAAAATGTTGTAAAGGAAAATAAGGATATGAGTATTCCGGCGAGAGCGAATTGGAAGCCACTTGAGCATTTGACGGAATTCAGAGACGTGATCGTATTTTCGTAAACCAAATACGAATCGTATACACATATTTTGTAGTCGCTCAAGCTTATCGAGTTGTGCTACAGTGAGATTCAGATAGCTGACATCGGCATAGTCGAGAATTGGGAGGAGAAGTGCTTGTGCAAGCGCAACCCTAGTTGCAGTTGGAAGGAATTTGCGTAGTCTTCGAAGAGAACCGGCTGAAGCAAATATCCTACGACTGACCTCTTGCATCTGTGGACCCCATGACAAAGTGTTGTCTATGTAGATCCCTAAATTTTTTACAGTAGAGCTTATCTCAAGAGTTGTGCCACCGAACTGAATTTGGGGCAGTAGAGTCCAGTTAACTTTTGAGATCAGCCTGGGGCTGCCGATAACACACACCTGTGTCTTCTTAGGATTAATCATAAGTCCATAGTTATAACTCCACTCGCCAATGCGTTGAAGGTCAGCGTTAATTATGTTGAATGCATCCGATAACATGTTAATCGGAGCTTGTGTATATATTTGCAAATCATCTGCATAAAGGTGGTAGAAGGAACTTAGTTGATTAGAGATTGAGTTTATAAAAACAGCGAAGAGTAAAGGAGATAGAACGCCACCCTGCGGTACACCAGCAGAAATACTGCACCAAGAGGACATGGAGTCATCAATGCAAATCCGTTGCCGGCGACCAGACAGGTAACTTTGAAACCAATCAATTGTCCTTGGAGATATGTTAAGAGACCGTAGTATGCCAAGCAGAATGTGAAAATCCACAGTATTGAAGGCATTGCTAAAATCAAGTAAGGTGAGAACTGTGATCTTTCCACTATCCATGCCTAGTCTGATGCTGTCTGTAATGTGTACCAGCGCAGAAGTAGTGCTATGGCCAGGGCGAAATCCGGATTGGAAGGGGTTCAGTAGAGCATTTTTGGAGAGGAAGTTAGTCAGTTGAGAGTGGATGAGGCGTTCAAGTACTTTGGATAGGAAAGGTAAAATAGATATGGGCCGATAGTCAGAAAATGAAGAGGGTTTAGTTTTTTTTGGAAGAGGGATTACTTGGGCATCTTTCCATGCAGATGGAAAAACACCGCTTGTGACGGAGTGATTAAGGATATTGCATAGGATAAGTAGAATTTCGTCAAGGATAGGTATAATCATATTTCGGCTGATGCAGTCACTTCCCACTGCGTTGGATGAGATCGCCAGAATGGTCTTCCTAACATCACAAGCGGACAACTGATCAAAGACGAGAGGTGGATAGTTGGGAGTTGGGGTAGTAGAAATATATCTAAGAGTATTAGCTTTTGTACTGTCACTAATGTCGTGACGTGTTTACATTGGCTGTGTTTTAAGCGAATCAAACAAAATAAGAGCTCACGTCTCAAGTGCGCTCTTATTTATCGAGACGTATTTTTTGCGCCGACCCGATATCTAGTTGCTATTGTTGATCGAAGCCTTCCATGCATCTTGGCGTAAATCGTTATTTCGATAATCACTTAGTGTGCTATCCCACAAGACCCGGTGAAATTCATAAAGTTGAATCAATCTGATGATATTTTCATTATTGAAACTCGAAGAACACGCGTGTTTATTCATTTTGCCGTCCAAATATAGCGTACCCGGTCGTGTGCGTTCTCTTTGACGCGCGACCAAAAACCGACTGACGGCGGCTCGCGCTGCGAGCTAGCTCGCGCAGTACGCGTTCCCCAAGAGTGTACGCGTAGCTGCAAGTATGGACATGACGTTCCGGACACGCGTAAACTGACTACGCGTACCAGTGTACGCGCTATCCGTACGCACCTTAACGTATGCGTTGTAAATAGGTATTTTGTGAATATATTGGGATTTTTTTAAGTGATTTTTTTTTTTTTTTTTATTTATTTATTTTCTTTAAAAACAACTATTTTTACAGGCTTAGCCCAATGCAATAGTGTTATACCACCTACTTATTTATTATAAGAAATAATTCTTAATGCTGTTATTGTGAATTCACTCAGTGAGCAATAAAATAAATCTACTTCGTCCGCAATTATATTCAGAGTACGTAGTGCGCGCGTCAGCGGTGCTTCTCTCTGCAGGTTGGTGCGCCCGCACGGGACAGCCAGCAGCGGCGGCCGGCGGCGCCGCCACACGTATCTGTCCGGAACACATATGCTGACTCGTCCTAACACGTCTTCATTATGTATCCCACCCCTAAGTACCCTAAACAGGTACGAGACGAGTGTGAGTTCCCTTCTGACCCTCAGTTCATTGTATCCCACCATACCCAGAATAAATAACGTGGAATACATTAATGGATACAATGGGTATACTCCATAGTATCTGAAGTACAAAAACCTAACAAATTTATTTTGAACTCGCTCCAACATGAGGCTATATTTAGCTTCATGTGGGGCCCAGATGACTGCGTTACTCTCTAGCTGACTTCTTACCAACGCGTTATACAATGCTATAATTGTATTTAGGTTTCTAAAGTCCTTTACTGTTCGTAAAACAAAACCCAAATTCCTATAAGCTTTTTTACAGCATTTCACTATGTGATCACGAAATCTTAGCTCAGTGTTAACACAAACCCCTAAATCCCTA